GAATAGCCAAGGTCTTCAGTGCCAAGTTGGCCCCTGTTGAGTCCTCGGCTTGCCTGATGGCCCAAAACGGGGGGAAAAACTCAGAGCCGCCGTTGGAGTTGCTTGGGAACTCCTGGCGGGAACACAGCCACAGAGAAGATGGCTTGCCTGCAGTGCTACAGATATCGTACTCCACTTTCAATGAGCCTAACGGTTGCTTATCACTCACAACAATCTGGGTTGCCATCGGCACTAACACAAGTTTATTCTTACTGTATGGGGCATTCGTCACAATCTTCACTACAACTGGTTTGCCCCCTGGTGCTTTCTCGTAATGAACTGTGAGGTCAACGCTACCCTCCCGTTGACGGCAAGCCGCTGCCAACGCAACCCTGACCATGCTCTTGCCCATCTCATGCTGCACGTCGTTGTGCTCCTGATGCGGCAAGGTGCTACTCGGGAGCCCTACACCACCCCTCTTCTTCATCACAATGTTCATCATACTCCTCCTCCTCCTCCATATCTCCATGCGTATCTTAATCGTCATACTCGCCCTGCTCTCTCTTTCTCACTCTCTATCTCGTTCTCTCTCCCCCTCTTTCTTCTCCTCCTCGCCTTCGTCTCCCTCACCACTACCTTCCTTGTCATGTTGTCGCCCTTCCCTGAGACCTGCTCCAATTCACCTCATCGTCATTGTCCTCATCGTCTCGTCGTCTCTCTCCCTCTCTCTCTCTCTCTGTCCCGTCCTGGCCCTGTTCATCTTCCGTGCACTCACCTTCATCCTCATCATTCTGTTTCTCACCGTAGGGAACCGACAGCACACACGAACACACCCCCAACCATCAACTAACAGGGTGATGAAGAGGTAAACTTGTAATGATATCTTTCCTGGGCCTCTTGGGAATCTATCTCCCGAGCATGTGTTGGGGAATTGGGTGGGGCAGGATTCGGTAGCCCCGCAGTCTCCCCGAGTGGCTTCACATCCTTGGTGCTGAAGGAAAGGACCTTGGTGCCAACGACCAGCTGGGATTTTTTTAGTGGGCTGACGCCTCCATTCTGCCCCGAGCGTGCGTTAACATGGTTGTCAATGCGCTCTCTGCTCTCTGCCAGCTAACGAGCATGAGCACGATGTTCAAACCGACGACGACGACGGCGAGCAAGAGGAGGCGGGCCAGCGGAAGGATGAGGGGGTGGGAATTATGAGGAGGAGGTGGATAAGGAGGAGGAGGAGGAGCAGCAAGAGCAGGAGTAGGAGGAGGATGAGGAGGAGGAGGACAAGGAGGAGGAGGATGGCAAGGAAAGCTATCAAAAAACAAGTGAGCGGTCCTGGTAGCCCTCGAGGAGTTTGCCTGGCGTGATGGTCATGCTCATCGTCAACCCCGACTTGTCGCTGATCCTCCTCTTCGGCTTCACGATCTTCGCGTCATCGTGGGCCTCGTCCGTGGCACTCGCCTCGTAGATGAGGTCGACCTTCTCGTCAGAGACCTTGTCAATGACATACTCCGTAGTGATCGCAGCATCTTTCTTGCGGATGCGTGCTTTTGCGACAAAGCCGACTTTCTTCAACTCTGATATGCCGATGCCACCTCCAACTGTGAATTGCCTGATGGACGAGTCGACGTTCTGCTGGGATCGGGGTGCACGTTGCCAGGGAGACATCACGTTCGCTGCATGTGGAAGTCTCTCGATCAGCTCATTGACGAATGCGCAGCCTATGTCGTCATACGTCGTGTAGTCCACTTTGGTATTCGCCTTCTTGCCCAGCACCATCATTGCCAGCCTCACCTCCATTGTGCCCAGCAGCTTCGCCTTCGTGTTGGTTTCAAGCTCACCGAACTGGCTGATGAACTCATTCGCGCGCTTCATGTGCTGGCAAGCGTCGACAACCTTTGGTTTCAACTTCGATGTCAGTGCCGAAGTGTCGGTACTATTTATCAGCCGTGAGACACCATCCCTGCAGTAGTTCTCTGGCGCCACGAGGGCTGCCTTCAAGAGGCTGATCACGAATTCGGGATGGCCCTCGAGGTTCAAGTTCCCGAGCAGCCTGAACACGATTCCAGGAACGTCCCTCGAGTACCTGTTGAGCGTTTTCGAGAAGAGCTCCAACTGGTCGAGGAAAATAGGCGGATCTCCACCTGCATAGTTGCGAACGAAGAGTGCCATATCAGCCACTTCTCCCCTGACGTGCGGCTGGCAACGCTCGACGTCTTTCACGACGCTTTCCCAATCGATGGCCTTGCCCGCATTGGAGAGGTTTTTGTACCGCTGGTAGATTTGTCGCAACACCTGGATTTTCGAAGCCAGCCTCTGAGTCCCTTGATCTGCATTCCCAGATTCTTGTAGAAAGCTTGGTAAGTGTGGCATGTGCTCTGAACAGACTGCCTTAATCACGACCCATTCCAAACCAATGTCCATTGCCTGCTTAATAGATGGGGCCTGGCCGAATACGATGTCGTGGCTGAGTTTGCCGTCCTTGGTACAGAGCTCCCCAACCGTCGAGCTGGACTGGTAAAGCAAGCATCGCAACAACGCGTTAGTGTGACTGCATGTGACGGAGAGGTAGCGCATGTCTTGCTCCAGTGGTGTAGGAAGGAGTCCATCACTGCTCCCAGCCAGCGCAACATTGAATGCGAATTGTGTTTTCCCGAGGTCCCCTGCGCCGACCTCGAAACAATATGCCCTGCTGCATTTGTGCCAACTCCACCCTCGCTTCACTATCTCATTCAAAAGAATGTGTACATTGCCAGCGTCCAATCCAAGTCCGAACCTGTTGTCAGGATGTGTCAGAACACACTTGGGAACTATGCGTTGCTTGTATGCATACCCAGAAGCTGAAAGCATATCGATTATTTTGTCTGCAACCGTAATCATCTCCTTGCCCTCTTCGGTAGAAAGCTTGAATGATTCCATCATATCATTGATCTCTCTGAACATTTTGGCTGCGTCGTCCATGGTTTGTCCGTATGAAATCACCTGTTCGTGGGCTACCTGAACACTTGGAAGATCGTGTTGAGCCAAAACGGCTATGGCGGAAGGGAAGGGGGGGAGATTGATCAGGAGAAGGGTGGTGAGGATGACATGAAGCAACCCAAAATCTGATATGAGGAGACGGACGATGTGGAAATGGACAGTTCACTGATCAAAAACGTCGCCCCGTCTTCTTTGGATTTCGCACCGTGGACACAGCAACATACCCTTTCACGCTACGCGGGATTGGGGTACCTGAACTGAGCTAACCAGGTTAGCTCGCCTTAGCTAAGTCGTTGCTAACCTGTTTAGCTAACCTGAAGCTAAGGGGGTTAGCAAGTTCGGCAAAGCGTTTTGGTATCATGACCTAACCGCGCATGTTGCGTTTAGCTAACCGACTTGTAACTTGCGCAAAACCGTTTCGCGATCTCAGCGACGACATTTAACCGCGTGATGTGGTTATGCCCAGGATATAACCAGATTGGGTAACATAAGCCGAGATACCCCAACATAGAAGTGACATACATCCTGGTTATATCCATCTTAGATTCGGCCAAACTACTTAGCAAGGGGGGCGGGCATCGCAGTTGGGGCGCTCCGGGGCTCCACCCGGGGCGATCCTGGGCGAGTTGGGGGCCATAGGCCTCCGGAGCGCACGGGAGGCGAAGAGGCGCTGAGCCAGAATCGTTTGATTGTCGGGCCTATCGAGGGCCGTCTTGGGCCACCTTGGGCCACCTTGGGTCCTGCAGGGCCATTGCGGGTCCCTTTTGCGGGGCTGCTACCCTTTGGTCCCCGCTCTTGGGCTGCTCGGTAGCCCTCTTGGAGCCCCCCTTTGGGCGATCGTAGGGCTATCTTGGGGATGTGATGGCTGCGCCCAGGAGAAAAAATCATCCTTGGTACGGCCCTGCCGGCTAACTGCCGGGGTACTTTTCCCCCGGGGACTTCCATGGGCTGCCCAGCGCGAGCGAATTAGTACATACAAATAGGCTGTATGTTTTTTACCGGAGATTTTGGCACATCTTTGGCCCGTTGGGCCGGCGACTCCTGTTGGGCAGCGGCACCGTTGGGAGGCAGAGGGGCACGACGAGGATGAGGTCCGGCAGTGAAGAGTAGGGGAAGGAGCATGAGCAGGAGGAGGAGGAGGAGAAGTCATCGTCCTCCTACCTCTGCCTCTGCCCCGCCTCCTGCCCCATCTGCCGGACCCTGCTGCTGCTGCTGCTGCTGCTGCTGCTGATCCTCCGCCGCTTCATGCTGGGTTGCTGCCCTCATCACGCAGGGATGGATCCACTGGCTTGCAGGAGGCCTGAGCTGAATCGCCACGCTGGTCACACCTGCTGATGTGCTAGTGGGCAAGCATGAATGGGGGTCTGGATGCTCCTCGCCTGCCTGGTTGATAGAGGCTCACGGGTAGACAGGGCGACCTACCCTGACGGCCGCCCGTCCTGAATCCACCACGAGGTTTGCCGTCTCATCGTTCGTTTGAGTTGATGGCCGTTCATTCCAGCACGGGGCTTCCAGAACAGGCATGGGCATCCGAACCCTCTAATTATTTCACTCACCAGCTAGCCTGAGTGGCCTTAACCCTACGCTGTACGACGGATGTGGCAATCACGTCACTTGCGCACTCTGGGAAACATTATGAGCCTTCCGACACGTCGCACGTGGATCTTGCACGGCTCCGCGACCGCACACCGAACACGAAGCTATCCCCCAGAAGGCCCAGCACCTCCATGCGCCAAGGGTGGCCCTTGGCTGGGGAACCTCTCCTTTGGTATCTTGGCGTTCGTGGATTAGCGCAATGTCCACTGACCACGACTGCGCAGCCGGCTAGAACTTAAGCGCGCGCGTGTGGTTCTAGTTCTAGATGGCCCTCGTCATGAACGTTGCTGCGATGGTGGCGCCGTGAACTGGCAGGCATGTCGTTGGTGCCCTTGTCGTATGCTGAATTTCGACGGGCGAGTTGCTGAAAGTGGTGCATCCATTCTTTGGCGTTGCTGAGTCCCTTCTCGTCTTTCTCAATCCCCCTGCCTGTCCTCCTGGAGCCCTCGCGGGAGGACTTCCAGCTGCTGCGTGCCCTCGGCGAGAACGACGGCGACGACGACATCGCCAGGCTGCTGCGGGAGATGTGGCTCTGCCTGGAGGACAGCGCTGGGGGAGCAGCGGGAAGCACCGCACCAGCGAACGATGCCATCCCGAGCCTCATCCCGGGCCGGTCGGTCCGGTCTCCGGCGTGGCGGTCCCGGCCGGTCGGGCGTCGTGTCCAGTGAGCCCCGAGGGGCGTTCTCTGCAGCGCATTCGCGGAGCGGGGCTGCTGCAATGCTGGGCCGGGCGCGTCTGTTCTTCGGCGGCGCCGGGCCGGTCGGTCTGGTGTCCGCACCGGGCTGCTCGGCTTTCGGGCTGGGCCCTGGACCGAGCAGAGGCTTGCCCTGAGATCCGACGGCGCGGAAAAAATTAGACATCGCGAGAAGGCACTTCAGGAGCCCTAGACCCCATCTTTCCGCGTCCTTCCTCGAGCCGGATCGATCTGCGAGGATCTCGGGGCGCGGAACTGGGCGAGAACACCCGTCGCGACAAAAAATGCAACGCCAGGATCTCACAGGGGAGGCGTGTGTCTCACTCCCCGGCCGGAATCTCGGCGACGTGCGTCGAACTCGAGCCCCGCGGGGCCATCGGCGAGTCGAGCGAAGGCGCGCCGATGGCGGGGAGGCCTGGGGCCCGGAAGGGGCCCGAGCACCCTCTGAAGCAGTGGCGCGGCGTCGCGGCGTGCCTATATGCCCATCGATCGACCACGCGTAGGAGTGGCCCTCCGCCAGAGGCTACGACGGGTTTCCGGAACCCGCCATGCAGCAGCAGCAGAGGTGAAGGGCAGGTGGAGGAGCAAGCCGGCCAGTGGAAGCCGGCGTCTTTGTGTATTCCAAGAGTCAGGTGGGCATTGCTGGCTGTTTTTCTTTTTCTCTGAGCCCGTGGTGTGTTCACGCGCGCACGCGCTCAGAATGGGGCTCGGGTTCGGGTCCAGGCCACGTGCACCCGCGAGCGCACGCGCGCAGGATGGGGCTCGGGCTCGGTCTCAAGCGCGCGCTCGGGCCCGGGGTCCGGCTCGTGCTCGGGCTCGGGCTCGCGCTCGCGCCGGAGTTTGCGCGAGCGCGCACGAGCGCGCACGAGCGCGCACGAACGCGCACGAACGCGCCCACGCGCACGCTCGCGCACGCTCGCGCACGCGCGCGCACGCGCGCACGCGCACGTGCGCGCACTCCCACGCACGCCTGCCCCCACTTGAGGGCGAGGCGCCACTACAATGTTAGGACACCCACCCTTGGGCCCCGTACCCTCCCCCCGCACCTCACTTATCAGAGTGAGGGGGCCGAACGGTCATTCACTGTCCCTGGGTGCGTGGCTGAAGTGGAATTCCGCGGTGCGGATTCTCGTTGTTGTTGTTGTTTGTTGTTGAACATTGTTACTTCTAAAGAATAATTATTGTTGGGACCCCTGGTGCATGGCCCCCCCGCCGCGCCTAGGCCGCAGCCACATTTCCATCATTTTCGTGAGGAAGTCTCAGGCAAAACGGGTTGGTCCGGATCCGGTTGTTTTGTTACGGCCCGCTTTCCCTTGCAAAAAATAAGCTAACGTGGACATTTCTTGTTCTAACATAACCAAACTTCAAGAATCCCTTGCAAAAAATGAGGTAAAGTGGACATTCGCGCGCGCGCAAGACGAAATCCTTCCAAAACCTTAGTTTTCGTAACGATTTTAACATAAGAACATCAAAAAACCAATGGTTTAAAAAACTTGTCAAAATTTCATCCCGCGCGCTCTTGCGGATTCGTAGGAAACCCAACACTTTTTAAACATTTCTGTCAAACGGGCTTTTGCGAGCAACTTTTTCGAACTTCTGCAACAACGGTTGCGCACCTGCCAGGGCCATCATCCCTGTCAAATAATACCATGCGGGACACATTCGTTTTTTCTTCGCGCGCGCACGCCGTCGTCGTCGGCCGCGGGGCCCTGAATAGTAGCCACGGTCGTCCGCATGCCACGAAGTGAAGTGTCCGAACGTCATAGGGCGGGAAGCTGGGTGTGGGTGGTGGCGAAGAGTCGTTTGGAAATTTGGTAGAGCTTGAACCGGCCCCCCCACAAAGTGGGGGTATTGCCCGCCTCCTATGAAAACCCTGGCACTGGTGAGAACGGAGTGTCCCCACGTGCTAGTAATTGTTGTTGTTGTTGTTGTTGTTGTTGTTGTTGTTGTTGTTGTTGTTGTTGTTGTTGTTGTTGTTGTTGTTGTTGTTGTTGTTGTTGTTGTTGTTGTTTGTTGTCGTCGTCCCACCCGCAACCCGCCCCGCGACCCACCCGCGACCCACCCCGCGACCCACCCCGCGACCCACCCGACGCGACCCACCCGCGACCCACCTGCGACCCACCCCGCGACCCACCCCGCGACCCACCCCGCGACCCACCCCGCGACCCACCCCGCGACCCACCCCGCGACCCCCCCGCGGCCCACCCCGCGACCCACCCGCGACCCACCCGCGACCCACCCGCGACCCACCCGCGACCCACCCGCGACCTACCCCGCGACCCACCCGCGACCCACCCCCGACCCAAACCACGTTCAAGGTACAAACAACAATTTTCGGCGCCTGCGGCGGGCTTTTTTTGCATTCCTTCCAGGTGGAGAGCCCGCGACCCACCCCGTGACCAACTCGCGACCAACCCGCGACCCAAACCACGTTCAGGGTACAAACCACATTTTTCGGCGCCTGCGGCGGGCATCTTTTGCATTCGTTTCAAGTGGAGAGCCCGCGGCCCACCCGCGACCACGTTCAGGGTACAAACCACATTTTTCGGCGCCTGCGGCGGGCATCTTTTGCATTCGTTCCCGGTGGAGAACCCGCGGCCCACCCGCGACCCAAACCACGTTCAGTGTACAAACCACATTTTTTTGGCGCCTGCGGCGGGCTGCTTTTGCATTCCTTCCAGGTGGAGGTGGAGAGCCCGCGACCCACCCGCGACCTAAACCACGTTCACTGAACAAACCAATGCTGGGAGGACGATGATGGAGGCCGATGAGGGGGAGGACGACAATGGGAGGACGATGATGTAGGGACGAGGGGGGGAGAGGGAGGACGAGGAAGAAGAGGAGGAGGAGGAGGAGGAGGACGAGGTGGAGGAGGAGGATGACGATGACGATGAGGACGAGGAGGAGGAGGAGGAGGAGGAGGAGGAGGAGGAGGAGGAGGAGGAGGAGGAGAGCGCTATCGACAGGAAAGGTGGGGGCCACGAGGTCCGCCGGCTCGACGACGCCCGCGTCGCCCGCGCCCGCCCCCTCACTCTTATCCGCAATTTCGGGGTGCTACGTATTTAAAACCAACCCCCAAAGCAGGCGATGCTTCCAGCACCCAATTCCTACGAGGGAAAGTTCCAGCAGATTGTGTCGTCAAGAAGGGTGGGCTCCAGCACCAAATCTGTATCGGGGAACGTTCCAGCAGCCCACGCCGTGGGCTCCAAAACCCAATTTTGACAAGGGAAAGTGGCTCCAGCAGATGATGTCGTCAAGACGGGTGGGCTCCAGCACCTTTCCTTCTGAGGGGCAGTGGTTCCAGCACCCCACGGAGTGGGCTCCAGTGCCCGACTTTGACGATGGAACGTAGCTCCAGCAGGTGATGCTGCCGACAAGACGAGCTGGCCGCTCGGGCGGCCCGCGCCCCGGCCAGGAGCCTTCCTTCAGCCCGTCAAGCACGCCACCAGCAACTAGTCACCTGACTGGTGAGGGCCCCATAGGAAGACTGCACGGTCCTGCGCGCCTTGGTTTTTCTGCTGCCAGGGATCGTTTCCGTCCAGGTCAAGATTGTGGTTGGCATCGAAGCGAGAGCACGCTTCTTGAAAACAGTTTGTGAGGGAGCCTCCGGCGAAGCGGCTGACGGATCGGGCGTCCTGGGACTCCCCGCCCCCCTTGTGGGACTCCGGCGGTTTTTTGGGGGGTACCACCGCGGACCCTCTGTCGAACCCCCTCCCCCTCACCCTCCTCCCCCTCCTCCTCCTTCCCCTTCCCCCTCCTCCTCCTCCTCCCCCTCCTCCTCCTCCTCCTCCTCCTCCTCCTCCTCCTCCTCCTCCTCCTCCTCCTCCTCCTCCTCCTCCTCCTCCTCCTCCTCCTCCTCCTCCTCCCTCCTTTTGGGACTCTCCCGCGTTCTTTTGTGGTACTTCCACGAACCCTCCTCGATGCGGCGCGCGGCTTGGCAGGGCGCGTGCTCGACGGAGTCCGGGGGACGCCTCTGGGCACGGGCGTCGCGCGAAGAGGACACCACTTGCGCCAGCACCTCCTCCTCCTCCTCCTCCTCCTCCTCCTCCTCCTCCTCCTCCTCCTCCTCCTCCTTCCTCCTCCTCCTCCTCCTCCTCCTCCTCCTCCTCCTCCTCCTCCTCCTCCTCCTCCTCCTCCTCCTCCTCCTCCCTCCTCCTCCTCCTCCTCCTACCCCTCCTCGTCCTCCTTCCTCCCCCTCCTCCTCCTCCTCCTCCTCCTCCTCCTTCCTCCCCCTCCTCGTCCTCGCCCCTGTCTACTAGGGCAGCACCCCGACGGGAGGCTTCTGGCCGCTCGCGGCCTCCCCGGGGCCCTCGCCGAGCCCCCGGGGGCCGTCGGAGAGCGACTCGGGCCGAGCAGCCGGTCCCCGGGGCAGGCGCCGAGGCCAAGAGAGCTCGGGAGGCGTGCTGGCCGGGGGGGTGGGCGGCTGCCGTGGCGGGGGCCATGATGTCTCCTGGATCTCATGGCCCCCTCTTCTTCTTGCTGGCTGCTGGTATTCGTTTTGGTGCTCTTTATGTGCTCATGGCTGTTATTCTCATTTATTGTTGTTATTATTAGTAGTATGAGTATTGGTATTGTTATCTTTATCATGATTATTTGTAATGTAAATATTAGTCATCGTCTCCTGATGTGCATTGATATTCCTACGTGTTGTTTGTTTCATGCTGTAAATGCCTCATAGGGTTATTATTGATTGTATTGTTCTTACCCTTCTAAGTATCAATCGTAACATTCGTATTCCTCCTCTTCTTCTTCTTCCTCCTCTGTCGGTACGTCTCGTGGCCCCTCCCTGGGCCGCGCACGTGCCTCCCTCGAGGACGCCCCCGAGAAGGAGGGAGGAGGCGGAACAGGCGGACCCCGAAAGCCGACGGCACAGACAACATAAGCACCGCGAGTACCCACGACCGGAGCCCCGGACCCCATCCTCCCGCGCCACTCTTCTTATGAAGGGGCCCCAGGACACGCAAATAAATACACACAAATAAAAAGATTCTCCATATTTTTACATATTTTCTGGGTTTCTGTCTTCCCCCCACTTCCCATATTTCCCAATATTTTCTGGGGAATCGAGGAGTAATTGTGTCTGTGTGTTTTTTCCTCTCCTGATCTTAGGCCGGGTCGATCCGTGAGGGCCCTGGGGCCCCGAGCGGGGCGAAGACGCCCATTGTGAACACAGAAGGGTGCAGGAGGACGTCGGAGGCGTCGTGCGGTCTCCGCCGCCCAGGGGTAGGGGAGGAAGGGGAGGGGGAGGAGGAGGAGGAGGGGGAGGAGGAGGAGGAGGAGGAGGAGGAGGAGGAGGAGGAGGAGGAGGAGGAGGAAGAGGAGGAGGAGGAGGAGGAGGAGGAGGAGGAGGAGTAGGAGTATATGAGGAGAGGGAGGAGGAAGGAACGTGACATGCCTCTGTCTGGAGAAGACCTGGAAAAGAGAAGCTTCCATCGTGGCCATGTTTTTCCTCCTTAAATGTATTATTCGTGTCCTGTTTGCTCCTCAGTTATTAGCATGATCATCCTTATCCTCCTCCTCCAGTTCCTCCTCCTCCTCCTCATCCTCCTCCCGATTCCCCTTCAACTTCATTACCATCATCGCCATCACACAATCGTCATCGTTACTGTCATGTTGATCCTACTCGTGTTGTTCCGCATTGCCTCCGTTATCAGCAAAAACAGCATCACCAAGCATCGTCACCATCGTCGTCATCAGCATCATCCAAGTGATCCGCCCGATCCCTCCTCTGCCTCCTCGTCTTCCTTCCCAAACTCATGCTCAAACCGATGTTCCTGATTTCGCGCTCTATAGCATAACGGCCTTTCCCACCCCCCTCTCCTGCTTCTCCTCCTCCTTCTCCTCCCACTCCTCCTCCTCCACCACATCCTGCTCCTTTTCCTCCTCCTCCTCCTCCCAACTCGGGAACTCGGGAGGTGGAGAGGATCAACATTGATGAAGATGATGACAGCGAGGAGGATGAGGAGGAGAAATATTGTACGGATGAGAGGAAGGGAAGAAGAGGAAGGGCTTGGTTCCGGGAGGGTGGAACGCAGGGAGACTAGGAGGATATGAAGGACAAGGGCAATAACGATTGAGCAAGGGAAGGTGGTGGAGGAGGAGGAATGAGCAGCATCAGACATAGCAGCAGCCTTGGATGTTATGTTACACTGTCGCATTGTGTTTGTTGGAAGCTAGACTTCGCCATCATCATCATCATCATCATCATCATCATCATCATCATCATCGTCATCGTCATCGTCATCGTCATCGTCATTATCATTATCATTATCATTATCATCATCTCCACCACGATCATCATCTTCGTCGGCATCACCATTAACATCACCAGCGTAAACATCATCATCAACATCATCATCATAATCATCATCAGCATCATCATCCTCATCATCCTCATCCTCATGACCATCATCATCATAATCAGCCTCACCATCATCATCGTCACCATCATTATTATCATCATCACCATCATCAGTTTCATCATCATCATCACCATCATCATCAGCAGTATCCTCCTCATCATCATCATATGTTCCTCCTCCTCTTCCTTCTTCTTTCGACCTCGCCTCTCTCTTCTCTCCCCTCCTCCTCCCCCCCTCCTCCTCCCCCGCCTCCTCATCCTCCCCCCGAGCAGACCCCAGGAGAGCGTGGCGGAGATCACCAACGAGTTCGACCTCGTGCACGAGGCGGAGGCCACCCGGGCTGGCCGGGAGGTGGTCGCCAAGGCGCAAGGACGGCGCCTCTTCGCGATCTGCCCGCCCCCCGTCCACCTTCGAGAGGAGGACTCGGCTCACCAACGAGACGGTCGGGCATTTTGGCTTAGCGTGTCGCTCCGCCTGTTTTGGCTTAGCGGAACGCTATCCACTTCGCTATTTCCACGCGTCCACGTCCCAAGTTTTTCCCAGCCTCCCATCCCGCGGAGCGGAGCGACACGTTGTCCGCACGTCGGGCATAACGTGTCGCCGGGGCCGCCGCCGCGACACGCTAAGCAACAGTGCCCGACCCCAAATCCCAGCAGTGTTTGTCGATTTCCACTTCAGGGACCCATCGTCGGGCACCAGCCCAGACTTCGGATCCGCCGTCATGTTGGGCGATTGTGTGAGTATGGCGGAAATTCCCGCCCTACTTTTCAAGCTCCTTTGATGCCGATTCCCGCCCGTATTTGCCGTCGCTGCTTCCGCAACCCTTTTCGGACATATCCGCTCAAGATCCGCACGAACATTCTGAGGTGGAAATGTCCGCCTTGTTTTTGTCGCATCGTTTGGGGTGCAGTTTCGAAACGTGTTTAAATCGGGCAACCAGCCAAAGTACGGTGTATCCGAAGTCAGGGAGGACCATCAAACATGCATCTGGGACGACAAGCTGGCCCTGGAGAAGAGGTCGGGCCTCTCAGGGCCGCGGATTGAAAGGACAGATCGGCGGATGTCAGGGATGGAGCCGCTTCGCGGGATCGAGGCGCGAGGTCTTCGGGAGTGTGTCGTAGTTTTTGTCGGGCTGTCTTCCAGCATCGGGGCTCGATTCAGCAGCGGCGCCAGGCCGAGAGAGAGCGCTCCCGGGGGTGCCCGCACCGTCCGCTCCGCCGCCGGAGGCCCGAGCTATGTGGCCCAGAAGCCGGGCGGCCCCTCGCATGAGTGGCCCTTTGGTGCCGGGCGTGCGTCGGCGGCGAGCCGAGGGGGGATGAGGAGGAGGAGGAGGAGGAGGAGGAGGAGGAGGAGGAGGCGTGTGCCGAGCGTGTGTCGGCGGCGAGCCGAGGGGGAGAAGCGAGAGGGAGAAGGCCTGCTCAGCAGGCTCGGAAGTCCCCGGGGCCTCGAGAGGGCCGCCTCCTTCTCACCTCCCCCCCGCCGGCTCGCCGCCGATCCTCCTCCTCCTCCTCCTCCTCCTCCTCCTCCTCCTCCTCCTCGTTCCTCATTCTCCTCCTCTCCTCCTGCCTCCTCCTCCTCCTCCTCCTCCTTCTCCTCCTCCTCATCCTCGTTCCTCATCCTCCTCGTTCCTCCCCCTTCCTCATCCTCCTCGTTCCTCCTCCTCGCCTCCTCATCCTCCTCCTCCCCTCCTCTCCCTCCTCGTTCCTCCTCCTCCTCCTCCTCCTCCTCCTCCTCCTCCTCCTCCTCCTCGCTCCTCGCTCCTCCTCCCTCCTCGCTCCTCCTCCTCCTCCTCCTCCTCCTCCTCCTCCTCCTCCTCCTCGTTCCTCATCCTTCTCCTCCTCCTTCTCATTTCCCCCCCCCCCTGGCTCGCCGCCGAGTTGGAGGGGGGGGCGGGGGAGCCAGACAGACCCCAGGCACGCATGCCGCTGCTGCCGCACCGCACGCAGCGGTCGGCAAGCCGCGCACCAGGGGCCAAGGAGGAGATCGGGGGAGGCGAAGAGGGGCGTGATGACAATATCTCCTAGATCTGACGACCCCCTCTTATTGTGTTTTTCATTATTATTATTCTTATTATTATTATTATTCTTATTCGCTTTTTTTCCGATTCGGGTTATTCCTACTAATGTTCGTCAGTCTTCATATGCGTATTCTTCGTTTTCGTATTCATCGTCTTATTCTTCTTCTTATGTTTAGTATGATGCTGATTATTATGATTTGTCCCTGTTCTTCTTCTTCTGGCTTCTCTTATTCTTCTGGCGCCACTCTTGCCTGGAGGTGTCTCCTTGGTCGCGGGCGGTGGCGATGCCCGTCTCTTGTTTTGCTGCATGGCCGGGGCAATTTCCGCGTGCGGGCTCCACCTGCTGCCGGCTGGCCGTCTGCGCGACTCCCAGGGTCGCCTGGGGCACTTCGTGGGCACCGTCGTGCGCACCGTGAGCGTGGTCTCGGAGAAGGAGAAGAATAATGATACTACTCAGAGTTTGAAGCAGCATATGAAGATGAAGAAGAGGATGAAACAGATGAAGTCGATTTTGAAGACGATGAAGAAGGTGATGCAGAACTTGACGAAGAAGTTGGAGGAGGGGATGACGAGGATGAAGTGGCACTATGGCAAGCAGTCGCTCTTCTTGCCTTGGGCCACCCTTTCGTGCAGCCGAAAGGTCGAGGACGGCGACAGCTACACATCGCCCCAGATCGGTGTCGGTCTACATCTGTAGTCGTCTCAAGGAGGAGGAGGAGGAGGAGGAGGAGGAGGAGTACGAGGAGGAATAACAATGGTACTAAACCTATGTACATAATAGTGTGCACAAAAAGAAGACGGAGAAGATGGGAAGGGGGAGGGGGGAGGGGAGCACAGAGGATGGCACGGCATTCGCGAGGACGGACTGGGGAAGGAGAAGCATGGGGCGACAGCGAGGACGAGGAGGAGCAGGAGGAGGGAAACGGAGGGAGGAGGAGCGGGACGGAGGGAGGGGGGGTGAAGCAGGAGGGAGGACGGGGTGGGAGGAGGAGGAGGAGGAGCAAGGAGTGAGGAAAAGGAAGGGGGGATTAAGGGAGTGAGGGGGCAGAGGGCGGAGCAAGGGCAAAGTGATGGAGGTACGGAATGCGGGGAGGAGGGCGGGGAGGAGGAGGAGGAGGAAGAGGAGGAGGAGGAGGAGGAGGAGAAGGAGGGAGGGAGGGAGGGAGGGAGGGAGGGAGGCAGGGCGCACGGTGGAGGAAGCAGGGAGGACTGAGCCTCTCCGTCTTCCCTCCTCCTCCCTCCTTCTCCCCCTGCCTCTGTCGTCGTCGCCCTCCTCCTCCTCCTCCTCCTCCTCCTCCTCCTCCTCCTCGTCCCAACTTGCTCGGCGCCGTCCTGGGTAATGCGTTCCTGTGGCGACCCCCGGGGCGGCAGCGGCGGCGGTGCCCCGAGAGCCTCCCTCGCCCAGAGCTCTCTGGGCCCCCCGTGGGTCGTTCCTCCGATCCTGCGGTAGCCTCGTAGTAACAATGATGTTGAACATCGTTCGCTTCCAAAGTGATGCGAAGGGGACTCCACGACGCCGGAACTGGCCAGAGACAACGATGAAGAGGAAGACGATCAGAGGAGCAGGAGGAGGAGGAGGAGGAGGAGGAGGAGGAGAAGGAAGAGGAGGGAGGCTGGATGAGGAGGAGGAAGGGGAAGAGGGGGAGAAGGAGGAGAAGGGAAAGGAGGAGAAGGAGAAGGGGGAGGAGAGGAAGGAGGAGGAGGAGGAGCGAGGAGGAAGAGGCAGGAGGGAGGAGGAGGAGGAGGTGGAGGAGGAAGAGGAGGAGGAGGAGGAGGAGGAGGAGGAGGAGGAGGAGGAGGAGCGGGAGGAGGAGGAGCGAGGAGGAGGAGGAGGAGGAGGAGCGACAACGACGAGCAGGGCGAAGATGAAGGGGGCAGCCGGCCACAGCTTCTGTTCCCCTGGGCCCCTCGGGATCGCTTCGCCCATCCGTGCCGGCCTGCAGAGAAGTGCCTCCCCCTCCCAAGCTTCTTTTTGATCCGGTCGGTGCGATTTGGCATCGATTCCCTCCTCCCTCTCCTCCTCATCCCAGCCAGTCCGATACCATTCGATTTCGGTATTCCGACGATCCAGTGCATCCTGACGCAGCCTGTCCGATTCTTCCGTGCCGATGCGGCGCGATCGATCCGACGCTGGTTCCGAGAGACGTTCACGACGACAAGCGGCACCAGCGGCAGCGACGACCGACGACGGACGACGACGACGACGACGACGACGACGACGACGACGACGACGACGACGACGACGACGACGACGACGGTGCGACGACGACGACGACGACGACGACGACGGTGCGACGACGACGACGACGGCAACGACAGACGACGACGGACGACGGACGACGCTGACGACGACGACCATTGACGACAACGACAGACTACAGATGAAAGACGACAACAACAGACGACAGACGACAGACGACGACGACGACGACGACGACGACGACGACGACGACGACAACGACGACGTCGACGACGACGACGACGACGGACTTCGAGGACGGCGACGATGTCGGTGACGACTGGCGACGACGGTCCTACGACGACGACGGAAGGACGACGATCGACGACCGACGACCGACGACGATGACGGCGACGGCGGCGACGACGACGACCACCGGCGATCGACGGAAGGTCGACGATGGACGACGACGGCGGGCGGACGGCCGACGGCGGCCACGGCGGCCGTCGCCCCCGCGGCCGCGTGCCAGCGGAGTCCGCCGCGGTCCTGGCGCGCATCGAGGGCGCCCGCGGGATCCGCCTGCCGCGCTTCGACGTCGTGGAGGCCCGCTCGCCCCGCTCGCCCCGCGCGCTCGCCCGCCCCGCTCCTGCCCTCCCCCCCCCCCCCCCCCTTCCTGCCCCTCCTCCTCCTCCTCCCCCTCGCCCTCTGCCTCCCCCCATCATCCTCCACCTCCTCCTCCCGCTCCTCCGCCCTCCGCCTCCGCCCCCTCGTCCTTCTCGCCATCTTCCTCCTCCTCCTCCTCTTTGCTCCTCCTCCTCCTCCTCCTCTTTCCTCCTCCTCCGACAACTCGCCTTGCTTCTCCTACTGATCGTCGTCCTCGTTTTCGCTTCTGTCGTCGTCGTATCCTCATTCTACTCCTCACCCCTGCTGCTCCTCCTCGCGTTCATAATTCCTCTGCGCGTCGTCGTCCTTCAGCTCAGTTTACTCCGTCCGCCCTCCCTTCCGCATGTCTTCTCCCCCTCCTCCCCCTCTCCGACACCCTCCTCTTCGTCCTCCTCTCACCTCGTCACTATTGCTCGTCGATCCCGCATCGGGCCCCTCGTCGGCGTCCAGTCCGCAGTGCTTGAGGGAGTCCGTGCCTGAAGCTGACCTGCGTCCGAATATCACCTCCCCCTGCGTCCACTCCGGCGTCTCCTGTCCCTGGCCCTCCCTTCCTCCTGCCTCCTCCGCCTACCCTTACTACTCTCCTCTCTCCCCTGACCCAGTCCGAAAGATCGCGCCCCCTCCCCTACCCCACGCATTCGTGTGTACACGCACGATTGTGCCGAGATGTTTGTGGTGCCCTCGCCCCAGCGTAGGCCACTTCTCTGGATCCGAGCTATTTTTCATCTCTGTCGCCCCCCCCCCCTTTCCTCTCCCCGCCTTCTGCTGTTCGTCTTCGCCCTCCTCCTCCCACATCCTCCCCCGTTTTCTCCTGTCCATCCTGCTGCTCACCCGCCACCTTCTCCCTCATGCACGTAGCCCCCGTTTTCCGATTGCGCCCAGCACGATGTTTTATTGGTGCAGTTCCAGTTTCGGCTAAGACACGTGTCCGCGCATATAGAACACATCATGGGAGGGAGGGATAGGATGTCAGATGTGGCGCAAGCGCACCCTGCTTGCCTTCACCCCTCTCTCCCTCCTCCTCCTCCTCCTCCTCCTCCTCCTCCTCCTCCTCCTCCTCCTCCTCCTCCTCCTCCTCCTCTTTCTTCTCCCCCCCTCATCCACCACCACCACCACCGCCATCTCCTCCTCCTTCTCCTCCTCGTCCTTCTCCTCCTCCTTCTCCTCCTCCTCTTCCCCCCTCCCCCTCGTCCTCCTCCTCCTCCTCCTCCTCGCGTCGCTCTCTTCATCCTCCTCCTGTCGCCATCCTTCTGCTCCTCGAGACGCCCCCTGCTCCTCCTCCGCCTCCTCTTCCTGCTCGTCCTCCTCTTTCCTCCTGCCCCTCATCCTTCACCTCTTTCTCTCGCCATTTCTGTCGCTCTCCTGCATCCTTGTTCCTTACAGACCGGTAGCTCCTCCCTGCCGCACCCCTGGACGTGTCGGTAGAGGAGGCTGGGCCTGTCGCCTAAGACTTAGCCACCACCTTTTATTTTGCAGCTTGTCAGTTGCAGCGCTTCAGCGGGTGGATAAGTAGGTGATTCCATGCATTGAGCTCTCGCTGTAGCGCCGCATACCTCCGCCTTAAAAGCCCGTGCCGACTCTAAAGTGGTGCTATAATTCTGGCGGCGCGCACATTCGTTTCAAAAGCTTGCAAGAGCTAGGTACAATGGTGGAGGTGTGGGGCATTCTCAAATTCAAAAACTGGTAAGAGCTAGGTACAGGGATCGAGGTGAGGGGGGGCTTTCAAAATGGAGCTCTCTCTGCAGCACTGCACACAGTCGTCAGAAACGCCAGCAGCGGTTGCAAGGATGGAGGGTGGGGCTCCAGAATGAGCTCTCCACCGTAGCGCCGCGCACATTCGCTTTGAAAGCTTGTAGCCGCTACGCGAATGGAGGACCGCTCTTTTCCAAGGTGGGCTCTTGGCTGGAACGTCTTAGCCACAAGAAGAAGGCCATTCCCTTGACCATGCGACCATGTGCAACACTCGCACACTGGGAGGGGGGCTCCTTGCCGAAATGGCGTCCTCGCTTAGGGTTTCTTCGAAGTCCATGGCCAGTGGCTGCGACTTCTGCAAATGTTTCACAGATCGTTGTTTTGTTTTTTGTTTTACAAAAAAAGGAAGCGAGTATTGATGGACATAGGTTGGACTGTCTGATCGTACTGCTCTGCGCTCCCAGCCATCCGGCAGGAGGATGCAGGGCAGTTTTTTTTTTTTTTTCAAATAAAACGGATGTCTCGCCCGAGAGGCAGGTTCACAAGGTGCTGGCCTGTCAGGAAGGCGCTTCTTGCAGTGAAGAAAAGGAGGAGGCGGAAGAGGAGAAGGATGATGAGGAGGAGGAGGGGCAGGAGGGGGAGGAAGGAGGAGGAGGAGGAGGAAGAGGAGGAGTAGAAGCAGGAGGAGGAGGAAAAAGAAAAGGAGGAGGAGAAGGAGGACAAGGAGGAGAAGAAGAAGAAAGGGGTGGAGGGGGAAGAGGAGAGGGGACTTGGGATCGGGCGGGCGTGTCGCGGCCTCGCTGATGCATCGTGGGTCTGCCTGTTGGTCTCTTTGGAGGCTGCTCGGGAAGGTCAACGCATCAGAGGCGGCCTCACTTTCATCGAGGCGCAGCTGTACGTCCCTCTTGTGCCGCTGCTCTACTTCGTCTGGGTGCTCGTGCTGGTCGTCCTCGGCTCGTTCGACCTTCCATGTCGAGATACAGAGGTGGAGCGTCGAGTTCAAAAAAAGGTTGAGTCGGGCATGTCCTTCTACTGGAGGAGAGAACATCAAGAATAGTAAATCATCGTCTGGTGACGATGTTCCGTGCTCCCGTGCTCCCTCGATGTATTGCTGATTATGTGTTGACTATGTTTTCTTTGTCTTCTAAGATCCACCTGTACGAGGACATTCCCGACCAAGGCTAGGTTTGGTTGGAACCGCAGCGTTTGCGCGGCAAGACAAGCATGACAACGCCTTGGGTGACAGGGCCTTAGTACGACGTGCCTCCGCGCGCTGTGAGAGTGGTAAAGCGGCAAGGGCAAACAGGGGGCAGGCAAAACAAGACAGGCAAACCAGGTCTTGGAGTTCACACACGGCGTGCAGTTGTTCTGATTCGTCTTATTCTTCTCCTCCTCATCAGCATCATCTTACCCATCCAACGCGATGGCATTGCCTGAGGGACCGCCGCATCGGCGAGCGCGCGCGCAAGAAGTGCGAGGCCGCTGTGCGCCTGCGGCGTCGTAGGGCGTGCAACGCTTCCTCTTCGCGTTTGCGTGTCAATGCTTCTGTTTCTGGACCTGAGTCGTTGGACACCCGCCAGTCCTGATACATGATGCTCCTCCTCCTCCTCCTCCTCCTCCTCCTCCTCCTCCTCCTCCTCCTCCTCCTCCTCCTCTTCCTCCTCGCCCTCCTCCTCCTGGGCTTGCTTCAGCACGGGATCAGGAATATCGCGAGAGCTTCGGTTTGCAGCCTTTTCACTCGCAGGGGGGGAGGAGGCCCGGCACCGCGGGCTTGCATGGCCCTGGCGCTGCGCCCGCAGCACGCCGCCGTTGGCGTTCTTGGCGCGGTGGCGTTGAGGCTCGCGGACCTGCTGCACCGGGCCTTCGTGCAGCAGGCTGGCCGGGGAGGCGCTGGCGCGAACCTGGAGGCGGCGGTGAACGCTGTCCACTCGGCTGCGGAGGCGGTCGCCCTCGCGGCAGCGGCCGCGGTCGGGGCGGCGCAGCCCGCGAGGAGGAATGCCCCCGCACGCCTGAGTGGCCTGGGCTGCCGGAGCCGCCGGTCTGCCCGCTGCCAGCCGCGTGCGAGTGCTCCTGCCCTCCGCCGCCTCAGGCGCCCGACAGCCCGTGGAGCCGGGCGACCAGGCATGGCAGCTGCTTGGGGCCGCGCTGGGGCACGCTGCCGTCGTTCCGTTTGCCCGTCTCTGTCCCCGACGGCGTCAGAATGGTCGGCCGGCGAGTGCGCCGCCCCGGCGGAGGAGCGCCGCCCCGGCGGCGGAGGAGAGCGCGACGCAGTGGAATGGACTGGTGGCTCTGCGCCTGGCCAGCGGTCAAGACGTCGGGGAGGAGACACAGCCGTGTTGTATAGTAGTGATAATGTGTGGCATGAAATATTGCTTCTCGGGCAGGTTGATGCCCGTCATTGGGTGATCGAGACACCAAATCATGATGTGCACATCGAGAACATGCTGTGCACGTCGACTGCTGACGGGCCTTGTCGCGCAGTGCGGTTGGCAGATGACCGTTATCTTCCAGTCTTCTTGAAAGGGGCGCACCTATCGCTTCAAGGACAACACAGACGAGGCTGGCATTCGGGATAAGATGTCGTATGCTCCAGAGGTGGCCCAGCAAGCGGGGCATGACAAGCCACTGCATTCCGAGTGCTTGAACGCGACGGGAGCGCGAGTGCCAGTGGAGGTTGCAGCGCCCGCCATGCGTCGACTTCGGCACAAGGGTCCACCTCTACCGCCGCCCTCCCTGCCGACGCCCGAGGAGGCCCCCAGCGACCGTGGTCTGGAGCTGGCCGAGCCTGAAGACGTCGGAGGTACGGGAGGCCAGTCGGTCGAGAAGGGGTGCGACGGCACTGCGACCCCGCTGCCCCTGGAGCCCGATCGAGCTGACCGCTGGGTCTCAATGGAGACGTGCCATCATGCTGATGAGGTGCTCCGGCGAGGTGATGATGTGTTGCTGGCTAATAGCGACATGGTGATGGGCGAGCGGGCGCTCCACAGGCTGCCCGGTGGCCGGGTGGTCGCCGCCTGCGCGCTGCGCAGCCTGGGCCGCAGGCAGGACGTGCGCCTCGGAGGTGACGGGGCAGGGCGCTGTCGCCTGTGACCCACGACCCAGGAGGGCGCCGCTGGTCGGAGCTCTCGGCGGCGGTCAGCCGCATGCGGGTAGAGCCCATGGATGACTTCCCGCTCGAGGGTGAGCGGAGTGCCCTGTGGCTTTCCCAGTATGTGCGCGACCGCGGCAGGACCTTCGACGCGCGGCAGACGAAGTGGGCCATTGAGTAGCGCATCCAACCAGACTCGACGGCCTTCCTGATGCACGACCTGGCGGGGCTCGCGTTGTACCTCTCGGCGCGCTGCGACCAATGCGACGGCGGAAACCTCGCCAGCGTGAAAGCGTTGGCACTGCTGTGCCAGCTGGTCGAGGAGACGAGTGGGGCGCTGCAGGCGGAGGGCCTGGAGCATTGCGCGGGTCGTGGCAGGACGGGTGGCCCCTGACGGGGCGCGGCGCTCAATCCGGCTCTGGCGCAGCACGCGACCGATAAGCAGAGCGAGGAGACGGAGGTCGCAAGCAGAGGCGGAAGGCTCGCGAGGAGGCCGGAGCCACCAAGAAGAACATGGGCAAGAAGGGGGACGGCAAGGAACACCCCTGAGGGAAGGCAGCGCCTCGGAGGCCCCTGGCAGGGGCCAATTCGCCGTCGACGCGCGCCCGCGGGTGAAGGAGATGGCTTTCTTCCCTTGGCCTGCCCGCGGATAGGGCGCCATGGCGACGGTTGCAAGAGGCTGGCCCGCGGCGCCGAGTAGCGGATCAGGCGACGTTGGAAGGTCCAGGAGGCTACGCGCCACCGCGCGCGCGCTCAACCGCCTAGCTGGTTTTGACGCGCCCGACGCGGGGTCCGCCGCGGAGCTCCGCGGCCCATCCGCCCAGGTCTGCAGCGTTATCAGGGCGGCGCGCTCGGCCGACGCCCCCGGGCCGGGGAAGTCATTTACTCCGCAGGAAGATTTCGTCGAGCTTCGCGGAAGCACGCCCTCGCCCCGCTGCGATGGCGACGAGACCTCCCCCGTTCGGCCCCGCTCGCGCGAGCTGGTCAGCACGCCGGTGTAGGGCAACATCCCTGCGCCGCCGCAGACCAATGCGCCGCCGGATTTGCTCTGGCACTTGACGTAGAGACAGCGCGACGCGCGGCTGCGGCAGCCGCGCGAGGTGCAGCATGCCCGGCAGGAAGAAGGCCTGCCGACCTTGTACGGAGATATGATTCTGAAGAATGATCGTGAGCAGTACGCTGGCTTCGTGAAGGACGGGCTCGCCATGGGGCATCTTTCGTCTGGGGCGTTGCCAGGGGGAGGGCATCAAGGTCTTCTTCGTCAAGAAGAAGGACGGCGAGATTCGCATCGTCGCGTCGCAGCAACCAGCACCTTAGAGAGCTTCCGAAGGTCCACCTCCTCTCGGCAGCAGCTTCGCTGAAGTGGAGGCCCCCGGTGACGACCAGATGTGGTGCGCAGGAGGAGACGCGCAGAACCCGTTCTACCAGCGCCGCATGCCAGCCGCTGCAACTCGGCCTTGACCCGGTTCGTGCCGGGGAGGTCGGCATCTCGCGGCTCGACGGCCAGATGGTGTCCGTGGACTTGTCGGTCTACACCTCGATGTTCGTGCAGCGCATCCACGGGAATGTGCTGGACAGCGCCCCTAAGCTGGGGCCTAGGCGGAGGGCGGTCGACTTCCGATCGCCGCCTGGCCCCGGCGAGGGCGCGCTGCGCGCGGTGCACGTGGGCAACGTGCTCGTCGAGGGCTACGATCAGCAGAAGGTGGCGCACCTTCGCCTGGCTGCCTGTTCATCTTTACAGAAGGCGGGGCACGCGACGCAAGACTAAACGGATGCCGCCGAGAGCATGCAGATGCTGGGCGTTGAGCAGCAGGGGCTTCCAGGCCGCGCGACCGCGTCGGCGGGCCGCCACTGGACGCCGCGGCGGGCGCTGGAGTGGATCCAGCGCCGCTGGCCCGCGATGGCGAGTCGGCAGCTTGAACGCCTGATCGGACACTTTGTTTTCATTGCGCTAATAAGGCGTGAGTTGCTCAATTTCTTGCGCTCGTGCTACGATTCTTCCCGAGGTGATCTTAAGACTCCCAGGCCCTCCTGGAAAAATGCGCCCTGGTTGAGCTTCGCTGGATCCAACAGCTGTTATTTTTTTTTCGGCTCGGGACTTGTCCTACATGGTCCGATGGAGTTCTAGCTTATGATGTGCGTGGGTCGGTGCATGCCACAGTGAGGGGGTCTTGGGCGGCGAGAGAAATAGAGTCCGTAGGTAGGTGGCTGCGGGGTCCAACCCACGTGATAACGCTCTGGGGCTTATCACTACTTATGGGGAAGGCGATACTGGCGTGGACAGGGAAGTCGATTACCACGACGTGTACAGTTATAGGGAGTTCCCCGAGGTACCTGCTAAGTTGGTGACGGCTTCGTCGCGGTCGGACGAGTGATACCAGCCCGTCTTTTCTCACGAGCCGATACATGTCCCCGAAGTGCGAGGTGTCTCGGGGGTGATAATTGGACAGAATCGTGGGCCCATTCTGTCTCTGTCGAAGGGAAGACGTCGAGATCCTCGTCTGCTTATGCGTCACCGCAAAGCAGCCGCGTGGGCTCTGGTCACTCGGTCCATATTCATATGCAGATGGATACCCTCAGAACTCAACCCTGCCGGTGGACCTTCTCGCAAGCGTGGGCCGTCTGTGGGGATCAACGCGAGAAATGCCGTTCATGCCGCGCCGCAGACGTCGGCCGGCCGCGAAGCAGTTGGGGGCGACGCGTCAGCCTGCGGCGTTGCGCAGGCTGGGCGAGACGCAGGAGGGCGAGCTGCAGAAGACCAGTCCGAATGCGGAGAGCCTGACTCGCACCGACCCGCAGAATCCTGGCCATCCAGTCCCAGGTCTGCTGGAGCTCATGCTCACAGGGGAGAAGCTGGTGGCGGACATCCAGTGTGTAGTGCTAGTGTGCAGAGGGCACTCCCGCAGGCCGCCCGCGCCTTCAGGGGCTGGCGGCGCCCGGTACCCAGAGGGGCCCGACGCCCACTGACGATGGAGGTAATGGCGGCCATCGCGCTCCACCTTCTGACGATCAGCGGGATCGGGACGGCACTGTGCCGGCTGCTGATGATGGACGCCTACATGCGGCCGGACAAGTGATTGGGCCTGCAGGTGTGCTAGGTGTTCTGGGGGGGCCCCGCCGAAGTCCACGGCGCTGGCGGCCGCCCTACTGCACCCCGCCGGAGCGCGGCCAGTCGAGCAAGGCGGGGGCGGTCGACGAGAGTTTGCTAGTCAGCAGGCCCTGGTTGTCGGGGCTTCTAATGCAGCGCGTAGCCAGTCGGCCGGTCATGAGTAAGCTGTGAGATTTTACGCTCAAGCAGCTGCGCGCGCACTTCCTCCCAGCGGCGGGCCTGGCACAAGATGTGCACAACAAGCTCGATCGACGACCCAGAATGAGGTGCAATCGCAGCGTCGCAAAGTTGGCAGACACCCTCGCGCGGGCAGGACGCCAGTTTCGAGCATTTTGAGGCGTCGGGCACGCAGAGGTTTTTTCGTGATAGACATGTTCAGTGGGTGTGGGGCCTTCAGTAATGCTTCACGGCGCCGGGGGATCGATGCGCTCGCCTTTGGCATCCTGCAGGGCCCCGAAGGAGATGCCAGCAGAGCTGAACTTCGACGTCGGATACGCCGATTGATACGTCAGCCGAGATGTTTTGGGATTTTGTTTGCGCCGCCGTGCACCACCTACAGCATTGCTCGAAGGCCCATGATCAGGAGCAAAGAGCACACCTTGGGATTGCCAGATGCTCCGTTTCATTTACAACGGCAAGTGGGTGCTGGTACTCAGTTGATGCGTGTGACGGCAGAGTTCTGCCGTTTTGCGCGTCAACACAGCGTTCCGTGGGTTGTTGAGAATCCCCAGACTAGCCTGATTCTGGAAGACCCCCGAATTTGAAACCTTGCTGCGGAACCCGACGGCCCTCTGTGTGACGACTCACATGTGCGGTTGTGGTGCCCGCTGGAATATCCGCACGACCCTGTGGACCGCTGGACTGGAAGGTATGCAAGATATGGTGTGCAGATGCCCGAGCTGTGGTTGCCAGCCGTGTAAATTCTCGTCAAAGCCGCATATCATTCTTTCGGGAGGCGACCCCTGCGGGATCCGCCGGACGAGCCGTGCTGCCGCTTACCCTTACAAGTTCGGGACCGCCTGGGCAGCCCGGGCAAACAAAAAACATGGACAACGGCTCCACGAAACTTATGCATCAAGGCTGTCGTGCATATGTATCCGTGGTGCCCTGGGCGAAAGCAGAACTACGACGGTAAACCTTGAACCGCTCACGAGTTTTGCGAAATTTGGTGGTTGTGTTATTCAGGACTTCGCCGCGGCCTGACCCTGGGACGATGACCGGTGCTTCGCCCTTCAGGACTGTAACAGACATTGGGTTCAAGAACATTGGAACGGCATGACTGATGGGCTTGCTTCAGCATGTGATCCAGGAATAGAGTGATAGCTTCGCTTTGTAGCCCTTTCTCTCACCGTCCGACAACCCCACCCCCGCCCTCGTTCCTTGACTGCAGGACTCACCCTCGCATCCACATTGACAGTGTTGCTGCGTGCTACTATATAATCCAACGAACGCTGGACGTTCTGCTGTGCTTTGCCCTGACACCACGCAGGTGGTTGTTTTGTTAAAGACTTCGCTGCGGCGTGGCCCTGAGACGATGACCGCTGCTTCGCCCTTCAGGACTGTAACAGACATGGGTTCAAGAAGATCGGAACGGCATGACCTCCTCCTCCTCCTCCTTTTCCTCCTCCTCCTCTTCCTCGGCATGACCTCCTCCTCCTCCTCCTCCTCCTCCTCCTCCTCATGTAACAGACATGGGTTCGTTTTCCTCCTCTTCCTCCTCCTCCTCCTGCTCTCGCGTTTTTTCCTCCTCCTCCTCCTCCTCCTTCCACTCCTCCTCCCCCTTCTCCTCCTCCACCTTCTCCCCCTCCTCCCCTTTGTTCTCCTCCCCCTCCTCCCCCGCCCCCTTCCGAGCGGCCAGGTCGTGGACATGTGGCTGGGCCGCTCCACGATGGCGCCGCGGCTTCGCGTCGGCCGCGGGCCGGGCGCGGCGGCAGCGCACGGGGGAGAGGCCGGGCCGGGCTGGAGCCCCCCGATGGGGGCGGGCTTCCGAGGGGCGGCGGAGCGCGGAGCGGTCGGGGGGAGGAGCGGGCGGAGGAGCAGCGGCAGGAGGGAGCAGGAGCCTCGAGGGCGTGGAGTACCTGGGGGGGAAGGGAGAGGGAGGAGGAGGAGGAGGAGGAGGAGGAGGAGGAGGAGGAGGAGGAGGAGGACCAGTGTAAACCCAAGGGTCATCAGCGATGTTGGAATACACCCTCCCTCCAAGTTCCGTCTGCATAGGCCCCTACAACGAGTCATTTCGACTGCGGGAAGTGCCTCGTTGGAAGAGAATCGTCTGGATCCTTTGAAGCATACCGAAACATTGTTCTCGGGATTCCAACGCAATTGATCAACTCGAGTGTTGCGTCTTGACGGTTTTGAATCGCGCCAGGACGCCATTCCTGGGATTTCAACAGCGCGAATCAAAGTACTTGTTGCACCATCATAATCCTGAGTCTTTCCTGCACACAATTTCTGGTACGCTGCTCATGGGAATCCGTGGGACTCTGGCAAAGCTACGCATTGTATACTAAACGAACGTGTGCGGCGTTAAGGCGAGAGCCACATTGTGACAAGGAACCGCCCTCAATCCGTGAAGCTCTTGGACATGTTGTTTAAGACGAGTGCCCGCGGCGCTACGGCGAGAGCCACACTTTGAAAACCAGTCGCCCTCAATCTCTTGCAAATGTGTGAAGCGAGTGTGCGCGGCGCTAAGGCGAGAGCCACACTTTGAAAATGGCCCGCCCTCCACCTGCGAAGCTGCTGCCAGTGGTGAAGCTTCCGGGTCATAAGTGATGGGGGAAATCTCCGGCGAGACGCCCGGCCCGCCCTAAAAATCGGGCCCGGGGTGCGACAGGGAGAAGGTATTGATAAAGAAAAGGCATGGAGGAGGAGGAGGAGGAGGAGGAGGAGGAGGAGGAGGAGGAATCGCGGGAAGCCAGCCCTCACCCCCAGCTATCGTCAGATTTTGTTGATGAACACGATAGCAAAATGCCACCACTCATTCCTTCGCAACAGGCTTGGCATCGTTGTCAGGTACATCTTGAGAGAATCACAATGCGGAGGAGTACCCGGCAAGGGTACGGACATGGCATCTCACACTGTTCGATTGACGATGGATGTTGCGAAAAGAAACAATCACAGCTTCCTAGTTGTATTTACCGACTTGAAAGCTGCATTTTATAGGGTGGTCCGAGAGTTAATTCTGGGTAAGCTTAGGGAGGATGACGATACCAACGATATACTTGAGTCTGCCGACATTCCGCTTGCCCTGACCCCGGTGATGGACGAGCTTATCGCTCAGCCAGGGATATTGGAGCAATATTTGGACGATCCCCACATGTTGGCCGTGATGCAGGACATGCACCAGGACACATGGTTCTCGGTGCGCGACGCTGACCAAATGGCCAGAACCAGGAAGGGGACCCGACCCGGCAGCAATGCTGGGGACATGTTTTTCAATGTCTCGTTCTCCCCCATCCTAGCAGAGACGCATGACAAGATGTGTCATCATGATCTGTGTGTTCACCTGCCGGCCCAGGATGGTCCATTCATCAAGGACGGAGACTCGGACCACAACAAAGTGACAAATTCAACATATGCTGACGATCTCACAGCACTAGCGATCTGGCGAGACAATGCCACGTTGAAGCAGGCAGCAATCAAGATGTGCATCATATTGCACGAGGCAACGCTTTCTCGTGGCATGTTGCTAAATTACGGTCAAGGCAAAACGGGAATTTTCGTCGGCATATATGGAGAGGGAAAGCAGGAAGCCAAGCAGCATTGGTTTGTAGGTGAGCCATATCTTGACATCCCCAGGTATGACCTCAAGGTCGAAATCTGTGCGAGCCACAAGCATCTGGGGAGCGTCTTGCATGTTGATGGAGTCATGGGACCGGAGTTTCAGGCACGAGCCGTGGAGCAGAACAGCGGTATTGGGCCACTAAAACGATCCGTGTTCAAGATGAGGGGCGTTACCAAAAGCACCAAGCTCCGATACTGTTACCCCCTTTGCTCGACGAAGCTGCTTTTCCACGGGGCTATCTGGGGCCCCCTTAGCAACAAGGATACCGAAAAACTAAAAACGGAGTTTTTGAAGCCTTACCGACACGACTTAGGAGAAGACAGCTGGAGAGCCCAGCATGAAGGAGCCCGCATGCGAAGCGAAGACGTCATGCTCGAGGCTGCTTTGTTTGACCCTGCGGTCGTCCTCAGAGTCCTACGTTTGCGATACTTTGGGAGAGTGCTTCGCACAGGTCCGCCACAGCTAAGGCTGCTGTTACAGTACTTGTGGGAAGAAGGGGAAGGGTGGTGCGGATTGTTGCGGGGAGATTTTGATTGGCTCGACGAGCATCAAGAGCATGAGAGCCATCTGAACCCCACCCCCCACTGGAAGTGGTTTGAGGTTGCCCGTGAGGCACCGGCCTCTTGGAAGGCTGCCATCAACCGTGCCACGGCCGCGTACGGCCATTGGAGCAAAGACCAGTTGAAGCTGACGCTTTGGCGCCAGAAGATTTACGATGTTTGCCAAGCGAGTGGCATTAGCCCCCCCCCCACGGTCGAACCCCCCCCTCGTGTCTTAGCATACCCGTGCAGCATGTGTGGTGCTGTATTCACAACGGTTGGAAGTTGGAGGTTGCATAGGGTGCGAGATCATGAGGAAACAGACCATGCATCGATGCATGCAGCAGGAAGCGATTGCCATGCTTGTATGAAAGGGTTTTCCACGCGCGCGCGACTCTTGAAGCATTTGCGAAGGGGGAACAGAAGGTGTTTAGCGACTTGGGTGCACATGACAGCTCCCCTAAGCGCTGAAGAGAGGGAACACGAGAAGCAGGTGGAGGCCGCTCAGGCCAGGGCTCTTAGGGCCCGCGGGCTCTACTATGCTAAAGCCGAGACGCCAGTCTACCCAGTTCAGGGCCCGGCCTGGCCTCCCCCGCCCCAAGACCTGGTTGATCAGCTTAGGTTCCCTGAACCCCCACCAATGCCCACAGAGGCAGAAGCTTGCCAGTTTTACGGAACGTCTGCAGTACCAAAGCCAGTGCCCCTAGATGGAGTGCGGTATGTGCTCCACCTGTTCAGCGGTCAGCGTAGAGCAGGTGACTTTCAATCGCACTTCGAGAAGTATCAGAGCAGATCTGGAGCTGCAGTTTGGGTTTTGTCGGTCGACGTCGTTCACCACGTGTCGGGGGATCTCAGAGATTCAGCAGCTGTCCAGACGCTCATAGATTTATTATTTGCAGGCCGTGCGCTTGCGTTTATCGCTGGGCCCCCTTGCGAATCGTGGAGCTCAGCGAGGGCCAACGAGCTCGAGGGAGCCTCGGGGCCCAGAGTGATACGATCGGTCCAGTCTTTATGGGGGATCCCACAAATGACCAACCGAGAGTGGGAGCAGGCGGGGGCAGCAAATGATTTATACAGAACAACGCTGCTGTTCGCATATGTCGCTGCTGCAACAGCCGCAGCAGGAATTGTAGAGCACCCTGCCCCGCCGAAAGACCCCATGCTCCCCTCCTCGTGGTCCTTGCCAGAAACTTCTCACATTATCCAGCTGTTGCATCCAGATGTAGTAGTGCAGCTGAATTGGATAGATCAGTGTGAATTTGGTGCTCCATCGCGAAAGCCTACATGCTTTATGACGATAAACTTGCCATCCATCAGCGAGGCGATACAGACAATGCCTCGCGGCGGAAAGTGCTCACATGCTTATGGCAGCCACAAAGTGCTGCTCGGTCGGGACGGGAAGGGGGGCTTTAATACAACCCCCGCTAAGCAATATCCTGACGAACTGTGCGGTTTTCTGGTTAAACATGTGTATGATTTCTGTGAAGGGAAGGCGACTACAGATCCCGCCTTGCCTTCCACGCCGTTCGAGGTAGAAGATGATCTTGCCAGGTTTTACGTGCCGCTCGATTGTTACAGTGAAGAGCAGCAATGGGACCATTATGGTCGCGACTTTGCCGGCCAGCCAGCCTAATAAGATGATGGGTGGTCGGGAGGTGGTGGAACGGTGGACGGGGTGGTCAAAGAAAGAGGCTCGGCCCCGGTTTGCACCGCAGCGGCAGTCCGCCGCCGAGATGATTGCACATCTCTGCTATCGCTTCGACCAAGTCGACGCGATTGAATTTGGTGCAGACCCAATTCGATGCGACCTGCGAGTTCGACTCACCTTGGCCGAAATGCCAGAAATGCCAGGAGGAGGAAGGGGAGGAGGGAGAGGAGGAGTTGGAGGAGGAGGAGGACGACGACGAGGAGGAGGAGGAGGAGGAGCAGGAGCAGGGGGAGGAGGAGGAGGAGTAGCAGGAGGAGGACGAGGAGGAAGAGGAGGAGGAGGGGGAGGAGGAGGAGCAGTGGGAGGAGCAGGAGGACGACGAGGAGGGGGAGGAGGAGGAGCAGGAGGAGGATGAGGATGAGGGGGACGAGGATGAGGAGGAGGACGAGGAGGTGGAGGAGGAGGAGGAGTAGGACAAGTGTAAATCCAATGTTCATCAATGATGGTGGAATGCACTCTTCCTCAAAGCTCCCTTTCCATAGGCCACTATCAGGCTTTGTTACAACTGAAGGAAGTGCCCCGTTGGGGGACAATCGTGTAACATCTTGAAGCGCGCCGGAACACCATTCTCAGGACTTCAGCGCCGCGAGTTCACCTGACTGCCACGTCTTGGCGATCCCGAGTCGCGCCCGAACACGATTTCTGGGACTTCAGCACCGCGACGCAATGTAACCGTTGCGCCCTGACAATCCTGTGCAGCTCGAAACAACAACTTCTGGCAGGTTAGCCATGTGAGCGAGTGGAACTCGTGCAACTTTTCAGATCGAGTGCGCGCGGCGCTGAAGCGAGCGCCGCATGTCGAAACGGAACCGCACTCGATCTGCGAAGGTCTAGCAGTTTCTTGCAACAAAGATGCTCAGCGCTCAGGCGAGAACCACTTTTTGCAAAGGAGCCGCCCTCAATCCGTGAAGCTCTTGCAGTTTGTGTTCAACGAACGTGCGCGGCGCGAAGGAGAGAGCCAGAGTTTGAACACGATATGCCATACATCCGTGGAGCTCTTGCCATTTTTTGCAACGATTGTCCGCGGCGCTGAGGCGAGGGCCATAGTTGGTAAATGATATGCCCTCAATCCGTAAAGCCCGTGACATTGTCTAACAAGAATGTGCGTGGCGCTGAGGCGAGAGCCACATGTTCAAAACCACCCGCCCTCCATGTGCGAAACTGTTTTCAAAGTGTACGCCTCAGGATCGCAAGTTGTGAGGATGCCTCGGGCGAAACGCCCAGCCCGCCCTTTGAACATGCCTCGGGAGAGAAAGGAAGTTCCCTTTAAGGAAGAGGAAGGAAGGAGGCGGAGGAGGAAGGAGATGAGGAGGAGTGGGGGTAGGTGCTGCTCCGTGATGGCCCCTTGGCGGGCCCTGCGGCCGCGTTACTGGTCGCCGTCCGACGCCCCTCTCGGGTGTGGGCCCCTGATCTCCTGCACATGTTAATGGGGTAGCGCCCGAACCGATCTAGAGAAAGAGAGAGAGAGAGAGCTGGCACGGAGGGGGAGGAGGAGGTAGATGACGAGCAGGATGGGGAGGAAGAGGATTGGGAGCAGGAGAAGGAAGAGGAGGAGGAGGAGGAGGAGGAGGAGGAGGAGGAGGAGAAGGAGGAACAGGTTGGGAAGCCAGGTGATGAAGAGATCCCTGGACTCGATGGAGGATGCGGACGACGCCTCCTCCATCTTCCTCCGCACTTCCTCCAAATCCGCCGCATCCTCTTTCCTCCTCCTCCTCCTCCTCCTCCTATTCCTCCTCCTTCCTCATCGCCCTCTCTTGGAGAATGGGGACCTCGGCGGAGTGGACGCCAGGTGCAGAAAAAGGCCGTCGGCGTGCCCCTGAGAAACTTCCTCGCCGACATTCAGCGGGGCGCCCGGGCGCTGTCGTCGTCGCGGTCGTCTTCCTCCTCCTCCTCCTCGTCCTTCTCCTCCTCCTCCTCCTCCTCCTCCTCCTCCTTCTCCTTTTCCTCCTCCTCCTCCTCCTTCTCCTCTTCCTCATCGGTTTCAAGCTCCGCCTCCGCTTCCGCCTGCCTGCTGTTGCCCCTCCCCTCTCCTGCTCCTCCCTCCTCTTCCTCCTGTCCCTTCCTTCTCTGCCCTCTGCTGCTGCTGCTGCTGCTGCTGCTGCTGCTGCTGCTGCTGCTGCTGCTGCTGCTCCGTCCTCCTCCCCCGCGCGCGCGGGAAACGAGGGAGGGAGGGAAGGAGAGCGAGAAGCAGCAGGAGGAGGAGGAGGAGGAGCAGCAGCGTCTGCAGGAAGTGAAAGGGAGAGGGAGAAGGGGATAAAGAGAAGGAGAAGCAGGGGAAGGTTAGGAGAAGAAAGAGGGAAAGGATGAGCTCCGCCGCCTGCTTCCGGGTCCGCTTCCTGTTCGTCCTCATCGTTATTTCTTTGCTCCTCGGGCTCTTCTCTGCCCAGTGACTCCGCCTCGTCTTACTACTATAACTCCTCTTTGCTCATCTTTTCCTCCTCATCCTCACGGGCCTCGCTCCAACTACGTATCATCCTCGTGATCTCGTCCTCCTCATCTTCCTCGCTCTTGGTCGCTCATCGCCCTCCTCCTCCCCTCCTTTGTCCTCCTCGCTGATGCCCGATCGCTGTCTTCATCGTGTATCTCCTCCTCCACCCCCTGACCGTGTTCCTGGTAATCTTCCCGATTCCTGTGCATCGTCCTTGTGGTGTTGTTTATGGCCAGGAGCGTTTGCTTAGCGTGTCGCTCCGCCGGATCTGGCCCACCACGCTGCGGCGCGACAAGCCAACCACGTCCCGGTCCCGAAGCGTCAACATCTCGAGCCTATCCTAGGCTCCGGCCCCGCGGAGAGATGCGACGCGCCGTCCGTTTTCAGGACATAGCGTGTCGCCGGGGCTGCCGCCTCGACACTTCAAGGCAGAAGCTTCCGGCCCATCCTTCCCTGGCCGCTTCATGACCATTCTCTTTTGGCAGTCCTTTGGACTCCCTTGCCTCGTCCTGGTGATCCTGCTCATCTTCGTGTCAGGTGTGTGATCACCAACCCCCTCGCTCAACGCAACCATCTGGCTTTCGCGTCGAGGGCCACTGAAGACCGCCAGAGGCTGTCGGAAGACCGCCCGGAACCTCCCAAGGCCGATGGGCAACAGCGGGCCGAGGGACGAGTACGCATCAGGAGAGGAAAAAACACACAGACACAATTAATCCTCGATCCCTCGAAAATATGGGAAAATATGGGAAGTGCGGGGAAAGACAGAAACCCAGAAAATATGGGAAAATACGGGGAACTTTTTTTGTGTGTAGATTTATTTGTGTGTCCTGGGGCCCCTTCAACGTAGCACACCGCAACTGCGGATCAGAGAAAGGGGGGGCTATCGCGGGGTGGGTCGACGGTGGGTTGCGGGTGAGTCGCAGGTGGGTCGCGGGGTGGGTCGCGGAGTGGGTCGCATGTGGGTCGCGGGGGGGGCGACGAGAACAACAACAACAGCAACAACAACAACAACAATAGCAACAACAACAACAACAACAACAACAACAACAACTACACCTACAACAACAACACCAACACCAACACCAACAACAACAGCATGTTTAAGATCGTTCACTGTTACTGGCACGCGTGTCTTGCGTTCTGTGTACCCCAACCCTCGATACCCGCCCACTTCGTCGTCGATCGCACCCCCTTTCGGGGGGTATCCTCCTTGTCGGCCACTGACTGAAGTGCGAGGTACTCTTGAGCGAGAGCGCCGTTCCTGAGTTCGGGGGCCTCTCGGGCCAGTGCCTCGCGGAATACATTTGGAGAAATATCGAACCAGAACCCTTGACACCGTGTCTGGGCCCCCGCCAACTTGCCGGAATTACAGGAAATTCTCAAGCGAGAGCGCCATTTTTGAGTTCGCGGGCCTCTCTGGCCAGGGCCTTTGGGAATACACCTTGAGGAAGTATCGAACGAGAGCCCTTTTCGTCGTAGTTGGGCCTCCACCAATGTGGTTGAATCGCGAGGAAGTCTCGAGCAAGAGCGCCAGTCCTGAGTTTGGGGGTCGGGCCAGAGGCTCGCGCAGTAAATCGTAAGGAGGTATCGAGCAGGAGCCCGTGTCGTCGTGGCTGGGCCTCCGCCAACTTGATTGAGTGGCGAGGAAGTCTCGAGCGAGAGCGCCGTTCCTGAGCTCGGGGGCCGCTCTGGCCAGGGTGTCCTGGGGTAAATTGTGAGGACGTAACGAGCGGGAGCCGTTGTCGTTGTAGCCGGGCTTCCAAGGGCACACATTTACATTCAGACCCGCGCTCGAGCGGGAGCTTCGTTTTTCAGAGGAATTGCAGCTGGTGTCTAGGCGAGAGCGCGCGGAACCGTTTCCAGAGATCAACAATACTTGTTCTCTAGACATGAGTATTCAACGACAGCAACAGCAATCATCATATTAAGACTGTTGGCTCTTATCTGTTCGCGCGCCGCTCAACACTTATAACCGGAACCTTTGGTACCCGCCCTCTCCGTCTTTGATCGTACCCCCTTGGGGGTATACATCTTTCTTACCTGCAGCGTGTCTTTCGTGCAGGCCCGAAGAAAGGGGAAGAGAGGACGGATAGAAGAAATAAACAAGGGGGAAGGAGGAGGACTGAACACGGGAGAGCGTAGCAAGAGGGGGGCCAGGAACAGAAAGCACGCGGCAGAACCAGACGGGCAGATCGAGCGGGTAGACCCTAAAAGGCGGGTCAGAAGGCGGGCCCAGGAGGCCAGGTCGAGCAGGTGGGTTGCTGAAGCGTGGGTTGTGCAGGAAACACGAGGAAGTCTCGTGCGATAGCGTGATTCCTAAGTAAGCCTTTGGGATATCCACAGCGAGAGCGTGATGTCTGACTGTCGAGGGCGCGGCGTTTGAATAGATTGCGAGGAAGTCCCACGCGAGATCTGATCCCTGTAAAATTTGTGGAGGAGGATGCGCGAGAGCGCGACTTGGGAATAACTTGTGAGAAACTAAAGCGGGAGCAGATGAATTTTCAATCCTCAATAACTGTTGTCGATCCCTTTATGCCCGGTGCGTAACTACTGTAGCTTTTCAGTTACTGTGGTTTCTCCCGGGGCTCGCAGGCTCACACCCTGTTTTGTGCAAGGGAAGGCGCGGTGTCACCAAATTTTGTTGTTGGCCCGCTTAGATCGGCAATGCACTGTTTCACTAGCTGCGCGGAGTGGGGTCGCGCACGTCTCTCGGTTTCTCCTCCCTCCTTCTGCGCCTCCTTCTGTGACCAGTGCTTTATTGAATCGCTTCGCTCATTCCGCCGGCCCATAGTGTAGCGTCGCTGGCACTTGCTTGCGTGCTCGGGGGGGCATTTGGGTGGCCTCCTGGGGCCGCTTGGGGGCCTCTTGGGGGCCTCCTGAGGGCCTGTTGGGGGCCTCTTGGGGCCTCTTAGGGGCCTCTTGGGGCCTCCTGGGGACTTCTGAGGGCCGAGGGCTCGAAATATTGTTTCGTGTTCCCCCCCTGGGGTCCCTCTTGGGGCGTTCTTGGGGCCCTCTTGGGCCGTCTTGGAGGCCTCTTGGGCCGTCTTGGAGCCCTCTTGGGCCGTCTTGGGGCCCTCTTGGGGGCCTCTTGGGCCCTCTTGGGGCGGTCTTGGGGGCCTCTTGGGCCGTCTTGGGGTGTCGTGAAGCCGAAAAGGTGGAAACGCCAAAATCTCTCCAAAACCTAAGGAAAAGCAGTGAATTTTGCCTCTTGGGGCCCTCTCGGGAGTGCTCTTGGAGGCCTCTTGGGGCGTCTGGGGGCCATCGTGGGCGTCTTGGAGCGATCTTGTGGCATCTCGGACCCCTCATGTAGCATCTTGGGGGCCTCTTGGAAGCCTCTTGGCCCTTCTTGGGGCTCTCGGGGACGTCTCGGAGCCGCGTTGGTGCGCTGCTGGAGCGCCCTGGTGACTCCTCCCGGGACTCTCTCGACCTTGCCGGGGTACTTTCCGCCCGGGGGGCCCCAGGGGCCGCCCCGCGCGCGCGAAGTAGAAAGATTGTAAAGCAGTCACCGGAGATCTTAGCACGCCTCTGGCCCGTTGGGCCGGCGAATTTGTTTCCTGGCAGGGGCCAAAGTTTAAAGCAGCCGGCGTGTGGGACAGCCAAAATGTTGGCGGCTGAGCTTCCCTCACTCCCTCCTCGGCCTCCTCTGCTCCGCCTCTACCGTCTGCCTTGCTCCCTAGGCGTCTCACGGCGTGGTTTTGAATATTGCGCACGGGCTCGTGGGCTCGGCACTTCGTCAGGCACCATGCGGTCCTCCCTCTCGCGCTGTGGCGCAGCCTCGCTGCGCTGGTACATTGAGGATGAGGTCATGGTTTGGTTGGCGTGGTTGATGCGGGAAAAAACCAAATTGTGTTGTTGGCCCCCGGCTTACAACATCAGCGGCTCCCGCTTGATATTTCCCCACAGTGTATTTCAACATCGCGCTCTCGCGCGGGACGTCCTTGCAAATGATCCAGGAGTCGTGCTCTCGCGCGGGATTTCGATGCAAGTTATTCAGACGCCGCGCCCTCGACGCTCGGGAATCACCCTCTCGATTTTGCTTCTCTCGCGTTTTACTTGGGAACCGCGCTACTGCTCGACACTCCCTCGCGATTCATGCCGGAAGCGCGCTTCAGCAACCCGCCTGGGTCCGCCTTCCCGACCCGCCCGTTCGGGCCTATCCACCCGACGGGCCCTCATTGTTCTGCTACGCGTTTTCGGCTCATCGCCTTTTCTCCTGCTAATCCCATGTTCCATATTGTTCCCTCCCTCTTGCATTCGTCCTCTCCTCCCCTGTTCATGGGCTGCACCAGTTCCGTGCGGCAAGTGAAGAAAATATACCACCGGGGGGCACGATCGACGAATAACAAGGTGGGTGCCGAGGTTTTGGGATATACGAGTTGAATGGTACGCGAGGGTGTCAGAGCGAACAGATTTAACATGATCGTTGTTGTTGCTGCTGTTGCTGTTGCTGTTGTAAGTGCTGGTGTTGGTGCTGGTGTTGTTGTTGTTGCTGCTGGTGTCGTTGTTGTTACTGTTGTTGAGTTACCACTGCTAAAGAATAGGTGTCGATGATCCTTCCCTCCAGTAGCAATTTTATATGTTCCATTGGAATGCTCCTTCTGGGGTTCGCACCCTGTTTTTTACAGAGGACAGTGTGGGGTCACCAAACTGCGTTGTTGGCCCCGGGTTTACAGCAACAGCGACGCCCGCCTAATATTTCCTCACAAGTTATTCCCGCATCGCGCTCCCGCGCGGGACTTCCTCACAATGTATACCGGAATCGCGCTTTCGCGTGGGATTTCCACACAATTTACTCAAACGCCACGCTTTCGACACTCAGACGTCACACTCTTGATGTGGATATCCCAAAGATTTACTTGGCAATTGGGCTATCGCTCGAGATGTCTCGCGATGCATGCAGGACGCACATTTCAGCAACCCGCCTGCCCATGTTTCCTTCCTTCCATAAGTCCTCTTCTCCCCTGCCTTACAGCAGGGGCTGCAAGCAATACACACTGCAGGTAAGAAGGAAATACCCCCAATGGGGCACAATGGAAGACGAAGGGGGCGGGTACCGAGGGTTTGGGAAATACGTATTGCACACGCGATCAGATCAGAGTGAACAGTCTTGAAGTGATTGCTGCTGCTGTTGTTGTTGCTGTTGCTGCCATTGTTGTTATTGTTGGTGTTGATGTTGTTGATGTTGTTGTTGAGTTCTTATTTAAAGAATAAGATTTGTTGGTTCCCCCCCCCCTCCAGTAACCATTTCATATGTTCAACTGAAGTGTTCCTTCCGTGGCTCGCACCTTGCTTGTTGCAAGGGACAGTGTGGGGTCACCAAACTGCGTTGTTGTCCCCCGAACTACAGGAAAAAAACAACGGCTCTCGCCGAATGCTTCCTCACAGTTTATTCCCTCAAATCGCGCTCTCGCGCGGGCATTCCTCACAATGTATTCCGGAATCGCGCTCTCGCGTGGGGCTTCCTAGCAATTTATTCAGACGCCGCGCCCTCGACATTCAGGAATCACGCTCCCGCGATGGATTTCCTCATGATTCGCTTTGGAATCGCCCTATCGCTCGAGACCTCCTCGCGATGCATGCAGGACGCACGCTTCAGCAACCCACCTGCCCGACCTGGCCGCCTTGGCCCGCCTTCCCGACCCGCCTGTTAGTGTCTACCCGCCCGATGGGCCCGTCTGGTTCTGCCACGTGCTGTCATGCTCCTAATCCCCCTCCGGCTGCGCTCTCTCGTACTCCATCCTCTTTTTTCCCCCATAGTTCTTTCCTTCCATCCGTCCTCTCTTCCCTTGCCGTCGGGTCTGCACGAAATACACGTTGCAGGTAAGAAAGATCTACGCCTAAGAGGGGACGATCGAAGACGAAGAGGGCGGGTATCGAGGGTTCGGGGTATACGTGTTCAGTGGCACGCGAGCAGACAAAAGCGAACAGTCTTATCATGGTGTTGTTGATTCCCCCTGCCCAGTAACTATTGTATTATTCAATCAACATATACCTCGCGGGACTCGCTTGTTTTTTCCAACCAAATTGGGTTGTTTGGGACCCGAGCTACAACAACAACCACGGCTTTCGCTTGATACCTCTTCACAAGTGATTCCGAAATCGCATTCTTGCGCGGGACCTCCTCACAACTTATACAGGAATCGCGTTCTCGCGTGGGATTTCTTCGCAATTTATTCCAACGCAGCGCCCTCGAATACTCTGGTATCACACCCTCGCAATTTATTCAGACGCCGCGCCCTCGACACCCAGACATCACGCTCTTGCTGACGATTGATGACGACGCGACAACCTCGACGGCGAGAACCTCGACGACGACGCCGACGACGACGACGACGACGATCGACGACGTATGACGACGACGACGACGACGACGACGACGACGACGACGACGACGACGACGAGGCAGCGGCAGCGGCAGGCCAGTTCAGGCAGCGTTGGGCTCCGCCGAGGCCCGCGGAGATGAGGGTCCAGGCGAAGACGGCGTACTACGAAGCCATCTTCGAGGCCGGCGACGACGATGTTGACGACGACAACGACGACGACGATGAAGATCCAGCGATTTCCTTGGATACGCGCAAGAGCCATCTTCGGGCCTCTTGGTGGCATGGGAGATCTTGAGTCATCTTGGAGGCCATCTTATGGCCCCTGAGGTCTTGGAGTCATGCTGGCGCGAAAGCATCCCAAGGGTGCCCCCAACATGCTAGACATGTTGAACAACCAATCGTGTTTTACGTTTGGGGCTTTCTGAACGAATGGAGGATACCCTGATAAAGGTCCCGCCAAAGTCGCTTCTTGGGGAGCTTTTCGCGCGCTCCTGGGACTTTCGTGGGGCCGTAGTTGGGTCCATCTTGGAGCCATCTTGAAGCCATATTGAGGCCTCTGCAGCGCATCGAAAGCGACAAGGCAAGAACTTAAGCGTCATGGGTTTCCGAAAGTTTTGGAGCTGAGTTTGGCTGGAGATGAATTGGCATCATGTGTGAGCCTTCTTGGCATATCCCGAGCCATCTTGAAGGCCATCGTGGGCTGCCTGGAGCCATCTTGGAGCCGTCTCGAGCGCTCCAGCGGGTCGCGGCCCCCCCGCCCAGATCCAGGGAATCGGGGGGGGGGGGGCGGTCAACCCCTCACCGAAGGGGAAGAGCACGGCTGGAAGAGGAGACGCGCCAGGCCGCCTCGGCCCTGGAGGGCTGGTGGGATTCCGGCGTCGACCGTCGTTCTCGATTCCCCCGGGGTCGTTTCGAGGTTTCGGGAGGCATCGGAAGCGGGTCCACGACGAAGTGCCCCCCCCCTGACTGGGTCGAGGACCCCCCCCCCCGCTCGTGGGGATCGAGGCTCGAGGCTGGCCGAGGGCTCGTGGCCTTTGGGGGGCGCCGTGGGTGCCCACGCCGCCGCGGCCCCATGCCTGGTCGGAGCGCCGCCCCAGGCGCGTCCCCAGGGCCGGAGAGCTCGGAGTCGAGTCGACAGGTCGGCTCGGCGAGGGGCAAGGCGCGGATCGGCGGAGATCGGCAGCCGAGTCGGGGAAGAGTCGGATCCGCGGAAAAATCGGCGAGCCACTCTGCCTCCCAAAAAAGGGGGTCCAAGTCAGAGTCCCCAATCGAATCGAATCTGAATCGGAAGCCACCGAGGTCGAATCGGATCGAATCGAATCGGAGGAATCGAAACGAGCCCTGCCAGGGGGGGGTATTCTCGAGGAGGGGCCGAAGTGGCTGGCTCGTGCTCGGCCTCCAGAGGACCCCCCGTCGAGACCTCCAAGGGGTCCCCTGGGACATCGGCAGACCTCTGGAGAACTCTCTGGGGACCTCTGAGGGCCTTCTCTTCTTCCTTGTCATCCGCATCCGCCTGCGTATTCTTCATCCTCCCCACAGATTCATCATCCCCCTTGTTATCATCACTTTCCCCCCCTGTCCTTGTCCACTTCTCCCTCCCCCGATCGTAGCTGCAGTGAGTCTCCTGGTTGCATGTGCAGTGGGTCTCCTCCGCCCGCCTCCTACGTGCTCCTCCTGCTTTTGCGCCTTCTTCTCCGCCCGCCCTGACTCCTTTCCGCCTGCCCCGTCCTCCTGCTCTTGCTCACGATGCCCTAATATCATGCCTCGATCGCAGGAGGATGGGGGAGGAGGAGGAGGAGGAGGAGGAGGAGGAGGCGCAGGAGGGGGAGGAGGAACATTCTGGGAGGGAGGAGGAGGAGGAGCAGAAGGAGCAGAAAGAGCAGGAGGAGGAGGAGGAGGAGGCTCCTCCTCCTCCTCCTCCTCCTCCTCTCCTCCTCCTCTCCTCCTCCTCCTCCTTCTGCTCCTCTTCCGTCCTTCCCTCCCCCATCCTCCCTCCTCCCCCCTCCCGTCCCCTCAGTCAGTCACCCCCCCCTCCTCCACACACCCGCCCCGCCCGAGATCTGGGGGCGGATGATCTTCGAGGAGAACTTCTTCCACGCCGACCCCCACCCCGGCCAGTTCCTGCACGACGCCTCGGCTGGGCCCGGAGGCATCCTGGCCTCGGCCGCCGCCGCTGTCGCCCTCGACGTCCGCCGCTGCCACCGCCGCCGCCGCCACTCGTCGTCGTCGTCGTCGTCGTCGTCGTCGTCGTCGTCGTCGTCGTCGTCGTCGTCGTCGTCGTCGTCGTGATCGTCGTCATCGTCGTCGTCGTCGTCGCCGCCTTGCTACGCGCGCGAAGGCTTCCACCTCTGCCGCTGGAGCGCGCAGCCAGGCAGGCGGAGCCTTCCAGGCGGCAGTTGCACGCATATCACATGATTGCCCAGGAGGTTGTCGTCGTCGTGGTCGTCGTGGCCGTCGTCGCCGTGGTCGTCTCGTTGGTCGTCGTCGTCGCGCGGGAAGGGGAAGAGGACCACATGTCCATACCGCCCCGCCTCCTCCCCCCGCGGCATCTCCCCCCGCCGCTTTCTCAACTGTCTCCCCGGCCTGCTGCGGATTGCCCTTATCCCGCTCGGCTCCTCTCTCCTGCTCCTTCGTCGTCCGCCTCCGCCTCCCACTTCCTCATGTCTGCCCTTTCTCTCTCTATGCGTATCCTCTATCTCCCAGTCCTGTTCCTCCCGCTGGACATTTACATTCTCCTTCTCCTCCTCCTCTTCCTCCTCCTCCTCCTCCTCCTCCTTCTCCTCCTCCTCCTCCTCCTCCCCCCTCGTTCTCCTCCTCCTCCTCCTCCTCCTCCTCCTCCTCCTCCTCCTCCTCCTCCCCCTCCTCCTCCCCCTCCTCGTCCTCCTCCACATGTCCTTCGGATGCCGCGAGCTGCCACCGCCCTGGCCCGCCCGGCTCTTCCCTCGCCCTCGCTGCCCGGCTGCTCTGGCCGCCCGGCCCGAGAAGGCAAGCTCTGGCTCCTCGACTGGGGCCTCGTCCAGCAGCTCCCGAAGCCCGTCCACCGCCAGCTGTGCGAGATCTACTCGCTGCTCGGCTCGCTCTACGAGGAGGCCTGCCGGCTCGGGAGGCAGAGAGGCAACGGGAGGACCGGCGCCCGCCCCATGCGATCCAGCAGCGGCCAGGTGCTCCAGTCGCCCAGCAGCTCCAGGAGGGGGGTGGGGAGGGCATAGGAGGGGGAGGAGGGAGGAGGAGAAGACGGGGGAGGAGTGGGAGGGGGAGTAGAGGGAGGCAAAGGGAGGAGGGGGAGCAGAGGGAGGGGGGCAGAAGAAAGAGGGGGGAGGGAAACGGGATGCATGTCCGCGGCCGCGCTCCCCACCCAGGCGCTCGAGGACATGACTTGCTCAATCCGCGGAGTCGCAGGGGTCCCGACCCTTTCCCCTGGGGTGGTGCTGCGCAGCGCCCTGGGACCGTTTCTGATGGGCCCCGGGGGGCCCGGAGCGACGGCGCTAGGGCTGGAAAGGTCAGCCTCTCGGATGTTTGGGCGGGCGTGGCGCCGCCACACAGCCCACGAAGACCGCACTGGCCAGAGTGCGCCGCCCCTCGCATTTCCTTGTGGGCTGCCGCCCTCGTCTGCCGCCCGATTCGCCTTGCAGCGTCTCCGTGTAGGCCTCGGCCGCGCTGTGCGTCCGCCAGCGCTGGGGCTAAATTACCCAAGACGTGCCCAACCTCTTTGCACCTCAGGCGGCTATTTGTTTGAACGCTCTACACACAAAACAGTTGCGAGATATGCAGCACCTGGGAAGGCGACGTGGAACAATGTCAGGCCACGCGCATCGCACACCTGCGCAACCTAGAACCGGGGACAGAAGCGGGTGATGATGATGATGATGATGATGAGGAGGAGGAGGAGGAGGAGGAGGAGGAGGAGGAGGAGGAGGAGGTGGAGGAGGAGGAGGAGGAGGACCTGTGTAAAACCAAGAGTCATCGACGATGTTGGAATTCACCCTCCCTCCAAGCTTCCTCTTCCTAGGCTTCCACAATCGTTCACTTCCATTGAGGGAACTGCCTCGTTGGAAGACAGCCGTTTGGAGATCCTGAAGCATGCATAAACATGGTCCTCGGGATTTCAACGCCACGTATCAACCTGACTGCTGCTCTTGACGATCCGGAATCGTGCTAAAGCGCCATTTTTGGAATGTCAACACCGCGAATCAAGTATCTGTTGCAACCGCAAAATCCTGAATCCTCCCAAAACACTAGTTCTAGTACGCTGGTCATGGGAATCCGTGAAATGCCTGCAAATGTTGAGAACGAATGTGCGCGGCGTTAAGGCGAGAGCCACATTTTGAAAAGGAACCGCCCTCAATCCGTGAAACCCTTGCAAATCTTTCAAACGAATGTGCGCGGCGCTAAGGCGAGAGCCACAGTTTGAAAACGACGAGCCCTCAATCCGTGAAGCTCTTGCCACAAGTTCTTCAAACGAATGTGCACTGCGCTCAGGCGAGATCCACATTTGGAAAACAACCCGGCCTCAATCCGTGAAGCTCTTGCAAATGCTTAAACCGGATGTGCGCGGCGCTCATGCGGGAGCCACATTTTGAAACCCACCCGCCCTCCATCTGTGAAGCTGTTGTCACTTTGTCAGCTTCACAATCATAAATGGCAAGGGAATCTCAGGCGAAACGACCGGCCCGCCCTAAAAGCTGGCTTCGGGGTGCGACAGGGAGGAGTTATCTATGAGGAGAAGGAATGGAGGGGGAGGAGGAGGAGGAGGAGGAGGAGGAGGAGGAGGAGGAGGAGGAGGAGGAGCAGGAGGAGGGGGAGGGGGAGGGGGAGGGGGAGGGGGAGGAGGAAGACGGTTGAGGACAAGGAGGATGGTGAGGCAAACAACGCCACGCGCCACGTCTGTCCGTTTCGCCCGTGCTGCCGCAGCGGGCGACAGACACTTGAGGAGGGGGGGTGAATGGGCCACCGAGGACAGCGCAGAGCGCCACGTGACGTGCCAGCGCCCTGCTCGCAGCGCCCGCGCGCTGCATGACGGGGCAGCGCCACGCGCCATGTGGGCGCGCCCACTTTCAGATTCGACTGGTCACCGCCCGTTGCAAATATCGCCGACGGCGACGCCAAAGTTGCAGCCAGTGCGCACGCTCGCCCCGAAATCGCTTGCGGCTCTCCTCCCTTCAGTTGCGCAGGAACTTTGCATCTTGGCAAGGCCAAGCTTGCGGCTTTTTCATGCATTGGTCCCTGCAGTTCTAATTGGGACTCCCAGGAGCCCACGAAAGTGGCGATAGTCGCGCAGTTCGCAGCCACCCAGGGAGCCGCAAGGTCATGCCTGGATGCGCGTACACCTGCATTCCCATTTACCTCCAACGAGCCCCCGAAAGAGGCAACATTTCGCAGTTCGTTTCCGCCCAGGGAGCCGCGAGGTCCCGTCTGTATGCGCGTGCACCTCCACTCCGCGGGACCTCCCAGGGGCCCACGACAGTGGCGATAGTTGACCAGTTCTCAGCCACCCAGGCAGCCGCGAGGTCCCGCCTGGGTGCGTGTGCATTTCCATGTCGCGGGACCTCCCAGGAACCACGAAAGTGGCGACAGTTGCGCAGGTCGCAGCCACCCAGGGGTCAGCGCAGGAGAAGCCAGGAGGAGGAGGAGGAGACAGATGAGGAAGAGGCGGGGGAGGATTTCCCTTGGGACCACAATGTTCTATTCGAAGAGGGAACCACACACACACACACGCGCGAAGATCGGGTACAAGTTTTGGCAGGCGCCAGGTGACAGACGGGAAATTAGCCTGCAGAAGGACCCAACCATATGCAGCTGCGAGTATCGCGTGGCAGGTGAGACGACGGAGGTGGGCCAGCAAAAGGCATGCGAACACCACCACTGGGGACTTCGGTGGAGCCCCATATGGGGCCACGATCCTCGTGAGGGGTGTGCCGAATTGGCCCGAGTCCACCATGCGGACCCTGCCACTGGGGCCTTCGGTGGAGCTCCCCATGGGGCCACGATCCTCGTGAGGGGTGTGCCGAATTGGACCGAGTCCCCATGCGGACCCTGCCACTGGGGCCCTCGGTGGAGCTACCTGTGGGCCACGATCCTCCTGGCCCTAGTCCACCATGCGGACCCTGCCACTGGGGCCTCCGGTGGAGCTCCCTATGGGGCCGCGAACCGTGTGAGGGGTGATCCGAAATGGACGTGCGGTGGGCGGTGAGGGCGCATGCGGACGCGGCCATTGGGCCCTTCATTGGAGCTCCCTATTGGGCCACGAAACGTGTGAGGGGTGTGTCGAAATGGACGTGCGGCGGGCGGGAAGGGCGCATGCAGACGCGGCCACTGGGGCCTGCGGTGGAGCTCCCTGTGGGGCCACGGACCGTGTGAGGGGTGTGTGCCAGAATGGACCTGCGGTGGGCAGAGGCAAGGAGGGGGAGGAGGGAGGAGGAGGAGGAAGAGGAGAGGAAGAGGAGGAGGAGGAGGAGGAGGAGGAGGAGGAAGAGGAGGAGGAGGAGGAGGAGGAGGAGGAGGAGGAGGAGGGAGGAGGACGAGGAGGAGGAGGAGGAGGAGGAGGAGGAGGAGGAGGAGGAGGAGAGGAAGGGGAGGAACGCTGGGCGCTGCCTCTTCAGAGCGAGGATCCACCACCACAGGATGGTTGGGAAAAAAACGGAATCGACTGCGCGGGACGTTCGCGCGCAAGGTCGCGGCTGAGCGCCGTCCTGCCCGCGCGGCGGGCCACGCTGGCGGCCCGCGCGGGGCGCAGCACTCCGGTAGGTTCGCTACGTGTCCTCGCGCGGGACTACAGAAGTCTTGGCCGCCGCTCAGGAGGGACGAGGGGAGGGAGGAGGGAGGACGGAGGGAGGAGGGAACGAGTAGGGAGGGAGGGCGGAGGACGGAAGAGGGAGGTGGGCTGGTGGTGCCTGGGGAGCCGAGCGCTGGCGGACCTGCGAGCACTGTATCCCTTGTGGGCAGGTTTCCTTGCTGTCGGGTGGGACCGCCTCAAAAGCAGCAGGCCCCGGCCGGGAAGGGAGGCGCGGGGCAGGAGAGTGAGCGCTTCGTCGCGTCACCCTGCCTGGCCCTCCCGGCCCCGCCTGTTCGCTGCGGCGGGGGGAAGGGAGGGAGGGGACGGAAGGGCAGGGGAGGACGGGGCCCCCGGGGGGAGGAGAAGCCAGCTAGCGGGGAAGCGAAGGGCAGGGGAGGAAGGGGAGAGGAGAAGCCAGCCAGCGGGGAAGCGAAGCGATGGGGGAAAGGAGGGAGGGAAGGGCAGGGGAGGAAGGGGGGGAGGAGAAGCCAGCTAGCGGGGAAGCGAAGGGCAGGGGAGGTGGGGAGTCGCCGCTCCGTGGCGCCCTTCCCGTGCCTCGCGGTCCCCCTCCCTGGCTTGGACGTCGTTTTCGGCGAGCCCTGGCACGGGCAGCGCGCGGCAGCGGCGCCCGGGGATCCTTCGCCCGCACGGCCCCCCGCCCGGTGTGCCCCTGGCCTCTCCCAGCGCGCACAGCGAGCAGTTGCGTCGAGCGGGCGCCCTCCGCTCGGCGCCTGCCGTGGCCGAGCGGAGCCTCGTGCGTTCGGCGGCCGCCCAGGCGGGGCTGCGCTCCCTCGCGTGACGTGCGTGCCCTCCGGGGGTGTCCTCTCCTCCTTCCTCCTCCTCCTCCTCCTCCTCCTCCTCCTCCTCCTCCTCCTCCTCCTCCTCCTCCTCCTCCTACGCAGTTTTGCCGATGCGCGCCCGATTCTGGGCCCTCTGTGTGCGTCAGTCGGAAGAGGTGCACCCTGAGCCTTGCCAAACATCGCTGCCCCGAGAGAGCCTTCCAGGACAGGCCTGCCTTGAAGTCGTTCGCAAGATCGATGCACGGCTCGCCCCTCAGCTGGAGGTAGGGCTCTGGCAGCACACGTGCCGCCGTTAGCAGTCTCCAACGGTCATTGCACTTTTTTGTTGTGCGCCGCTGCCTGCATGTATGATCTATATTGAGGCTGGGGCCCCTTCGCCCTCGCTTGCCAAAACAGCCAATCGAGTATCCGTAGCCGTTTTGGCCCAAGCCCTTCCAGATCGAGCCCAGCGCGGATGCCCGTCGTCAAGAAAATCGCGAACAGCAGTGCGCACCCACAGCTCCGCGGGGACAGGGTGTCCCTGCTCTTCCAGAGGGCACGGTGCCTCTCGTACGACGAGCGGGTGGAGGACGGCTTCCGGGTGCAGTTCCCCGGGGAGCTGCTGGTGGTGGACGCCCGGCAGGACCCCGCGCTGCTCGCCTTCCTGCGCTTCGCGCGGGGCTGCCTGCCCTCGCGGGAGGGCGCGGCGCACGACCCCCTCGCGGCGGTGTCGGCCGCCGCCCGGGCCGTGGCGGCCGCGCTGGGCGGCCGGGCGCCCCCCCGCCTGGGGTCGGGGCGCACCGCGCTGGAGGCCCGCTTCCAGGCGAGGCTGCAGCACGCCTACGACGAGGGCGGCGGGCCGCACGCCGACCTGCCCCTGGGCCGGCTCTTCGGCCGCGGTGGCGCCGCCGCGGGGGGGCAGGAGCTGGGCGCGGGGCTGCAGCGGCACCGCGCTGTGCTGTTCAAGTACCTGTGCGACGCCCTGGCGATCTGCAACTGCGCGCTGCTGGACACCGCGGCGGAGGTGGCCTCGGAGGACTACGACGCGGGCTTCCTCAACGTGGTGTGGGCCAACGACGAGATCGTCACCGTGGACTGCATGGCGGACCCCGGCAAGCTCCGCTGGGCGGGCCACTTCGGCCTGAAGGAGGAGCTGCGCGAGGCCGAGAGCCGCCTGAGGCAGCAGGACCCGGCGGTGCTGCCCCTGGTGCCGGGGCCCGCCCTGCGCGTGGAGGCCGCGGCGCGGGGGGCGCTGGCGGCCTCGCGGGCGGCGTCCGGGGCCCCGGCGCTGAGCGGCGCGCTCCGCCGGGCGGTGCAGGAGCTCCCGCTGGAGGGGCCCGAGGGCCAGCCGCTGGAGCTCGTCTCCTGCCGGCCCCTCGAGCCGTGGCGGCGGGGCGGGCTCGCGGGCGAGTTCCCGCAGCTCGCGGAGGGGGGAGGCCGAGCCGCGGTGGCCCTCGTCGCGAGGGATCCGTCGGGCGGCGCGACCAGGGAGCTCGTGGCGGTGGCCGAGGACGGGGAGGCCCCGCGGCCCGAGCTGGTGATGGGCGCCTGCCAGATCACCTTCGAGGACCTCTCCCCCTCCGAGTGCGTGGAGTACGCCTTCGGCGAGGACCCGGGGCGGTGGAGGGCTGCCCAGGTGTCCGTGGAGGCCCTGGAGGCGTACCGAGGCATGAAGTTCAAGCAGTGGCTGGACATGCTCCTCCACGGCACCTGCGAGGCGCAGCTGCGACGGATGTTGCAGATCGGGGTGGTGACCCGCCTATTCGACGACAACATCTTCCCAACGCCGGACGAGCTTCTGCACACGTACCAGGTCATGGACGAGCACAGCGGCAGGACGATCAAGCTGCCGCACCCGGTGTCGGCGCTCCGCGTGTGGGACCCTGTCAAGATGGGCTACGCGCCCATCGACCCTCAGCTGGCCGGCGTGCCTCCGGAGGAGGAGAAGGAGGCCTGGTGGGAGGGGCAGGTCCAGGAGCTCCGGGAGCAGATGGGGGCCGAGTATATCGACTCCCTGCTGGGTGGGGCATCTCAGATCAGAGGAGGACATCAGGTCTGAAGGTCTGGATGCTGACGCTGACAACAACGCTGACGCCTCCAGGTCTGGAGAGACGCTAAGAAGTTCAGGAGCCGGCATGGGTCTGCTTCCATTGAGCGCAAGGACCCGGCGGCGCACGAACTCCTGGTGCTGAATGTCAGAACCCAGCCAGACGTGGTTGCCCGAGACCTCTGGGATGGTGACACCGATGCTTACGCCTTGTCCTGCTGCGTGTAGCTCCCTGGCCATGTTCTTGCAAGCAGGGAAGGTAGGCGGTCTGATCGCACCTCCATCAGCTATTCTTTCTTTCGAGGAGGAGGAGGAAGAGGAGGAGGAGGAGGACGCAGAAGGAGGAGGAGGAGGAACATGAGGGGGAGGAGGAGGGAGTGCAAACCCAAGACTCACCAACGATGTTGGAATAAACCCTCCCTCAAGTTCCCTCGATTCTCATAGGCCGTACAAGGATTTATTTCCACTGAGGGAAACGTCCCGTTCGGAGACAACTGTTTGAAGATCCTGAGGCGTGCAAAAAGACCATTGCCAGGACTCCAACGCCACGAATCAACATGATTGTTGCGTCTTGACGATCCTGAATTGTGTCAGAACACCATTTGTGCGCCTCCAACGCCGCGGATCAACGTAACTGTTGTGCCGTGACGCTCCAGAATCGTTCCCCAGCACCCCTTCTTGTACGCTAGCCATGCAAGTTAGCGAATCCCCTGCAGTTTTTAATTGCAGCAAATAACAAACAAACTAAAAACGAAGGCGCGCGGTGCTCAGGCGAGAGCCACACTCTGAGAAGGAGCCGCCCTCAATGCGGAAAGGTTTTGCAGATCTTGAAAGCACATGCGCGCCGCGTTAAGGCGAGAGCCACGTTGTGAAAAAGAGCCGCCCTCAATGCGTGAAGCTCTTGCGATGTTTTGATTCGAGTGCGTACGGCGCTAAGGCGAAAACCACATTTTGAAAAGGAACGCCTTCACTGCGTGGATGTATTGCACATGCTTAAGACGAGCGCGCGCGGCGCTGAGGCGAGAGCCACATTTTGAAAATGGCCCGCCCTCCATCTGTGAAGCTCTCGCAGGTTCTGAAGCCTCAGGATCACAGATGGCGAGGAAGTATCAGGCGAAACGCCCGGCCCACCTTTTCGACCGACGGCGCAACAAAAAAGCCGAGACACCGCATAAGATCACGACCACCAGAGCCCCACATGCACCCAAAATCTTTGCGCGCAGTTGCTCGCGCCGGATCGATCTGTGAGGGCCCCGGGGCCCGACCCGGAGCGAAAAAGCCCCGCCCGAGGAGGGGGAGGAGGAGGAGGGGGAAGGAGGAGGAGGAGGAGGAGGAGGAGGAGGAGGAGGAGGAGGCAAATCGAGGCGTCAGTATCTCAGGGGCCCCCCTGGCCCCTCGGCGCCGCGGCTAGGTGCCCCAGGCGCTGAAGGCCGCCCCGGGCATCCTGCGGCGCTGGGTGGGCGCCTTCGCCGCGCAGGAGGCGCTCGAAGGAGCGGGCGGCCTCGGCCGTGCTACCATCGCCTCCGCTCCCCCCCCCTTCCCCGAGGTGCTCGGGTTGGGAGAGTTTTTGTAGTCCTTGTCGGCCTCTGGGGCCGTTTTTCGGGCCCCAGGATTGTCAAAAACGGGTCGAGGGTGAAAAGCTGCACGACATGGTCCTTGGGAGGGGTCTGGGGATCGATGTTGAACGGATTTGCCTGCAACCCCCCTCATGACAGATCGTCTCGGGGTCCGACCAACTCTGACCTCCTGGCCGCCTCCAACGGGGCTCGAGCTCAAAGGCTGAGGTTTGAGCTCCCGCTGAGTTTGGGTGCAGGTGGGCCTCGGGTGGCGGCAGTTGTTGCGAGCGCCGCCTTGAGGTCCGCTTCTTCCTCATCGCGGTTCTCGCTGTCGCTTTGCGTTAGCCCATTTAGTTCATCCACCGACCCCAGATATCTGACGATCTGATGTGTTTCAGCCTTCGCGTGTGTTCCTCAATTTCGGCCGCGGGGGCCGTTATCTGGCCCCTGGGACCATCACTAGTGGAGTCGGGGCGACCCCGGTGTTCCCGACGTCGAGCTCAATTGTTGCCGCTTTGCGTATCCCCGCCAGCTCGTGCCCGCAGCTTCTGTCTTCAGCCGCTGCTTTAGGCCTGCTTGACCCTTGCGACGGCGCGCGGCCGTACCGCTTGCGCTCGCGAACAAAAAAGTATCCCCGCCAGCCCATGCAGAAACGATGCTCAGGGGAGCTGCACGAATCATGGAAGTGTGGGAGCATGCAGTGAAACAGAGAGGGGGGCAGTTGTCGAACCGAAGCTCGGGATCATATCAAGCAGGACCAGGAGTCAACCATGAAGGCGCTCGCGGGTCTTGCGGAGTGCGGCCCCGTGCCCCCGTCGGAGTCCGACAGGTTGCCCATGCAGGCCTTCTTGGGGCACTCTCGGGGCCGTCTTGGGGCCCTGTTGGGCTAGCTTCCAGACCTGCTATGCCGTGGTCCAAGTTTTCCTCCAGTCTTCCAAGTGGCCCGCGCGGGCCCGCGGCCCGCGCGCCCTCGGGCAAAGCTGCACAGATGTCAAGTCTCCCTCAAGATCTGAGGTCGCTCAGCCTCGCAAAAAGGCAGGTGGAGTATGCTTCAGGGGACGCGGAGTAGGTTCGCGTCTGCTGGAAGACGAAGCGGAGTGAGTTGAACCGGAACGCGGAAGAAGTGATCCCACGTGAAAAAGAAAAGCGTGGTGAGTAAGTTTTCGCACCGTAATAAGTCTAGAATGCCGAAACCTTCTCCGCCGCAGGCGGATGACATGTTGTAGGATTCTACGGGGGGAGGGGTGCCTCGTCGACGGGAATCGTCAAACACATGGATAACGGCATTCTATGGTGACTTCAAGCGAAAGCGCGAGAAGGCACGACTCGGTGATCCTGCTGATGTGTTGGAAGGCGTTGGGACTCTCAGGAGCATCCTCTGAGGTCTTGGCCACTTGGTGCCGTCGTGAGGCGGTCTTGGCGCATGCTAGAGGAATGTGGGAAGCTATGCTGAACCATGTTGGGTCACCTCGGGCTATCTCGGAGGCCATCTTGGACCATCTGTGGCTCTCAGCGAGCCTTGCTGAGCCATTTTGGACGCTCTCACCGTGCTCGCTTCCCCTCCGGACTCAGGGGGAGGGGGGGGCGGGAGGGGTAAAGCCCCCCGCGAAGCGCGAGAATGGGGTTAGCAGAACGAACTCCTTGAACCACTTCCGCCTCGGGGGCTGGTGGGATCCGCCAGACTAAAGATGGCCGAGTTATTCTTCATTCTGCCATTCCAATGTTGACGGCAACGTTCCTGTCCCCCCCTCGATTTTCGAGCGTTGAGTGTGTTGCCGAGTGGTTCGCCTCCGCGGGGGCTCCTCGCTGCCACGGCTGGTGCCCCCTGGAAATCCTGGCCAGAACGCCCCCCCCCAGCTGGGCCTGGAGGCTGATCGTCGACCCCCAGACCCGGGCCCCTCCGCGTCGTGACAACAACAAAAATCGGCCCAGGGTTTGTGCAGTCTTCAGCCTCCGGGGGCCCTCACCCGGGCCCCGAGGCGAGCCGAAACCGGCACGGGCTGGAGGTGTTGGCCTCATGTCTCGGGGGGCACCTTCCCCGATCCGTGGATCGGGCGCCCACGCGCCAGATCCATGGATCCATCGTCCATAATCCACGCGCCCGAGGGTGAGGGATGGAGGGGAGATGGGGCGATGCCGATTTTTTCATTGCCGTAGCTGGCTGCTTCGGCTCGGGGGGCAGTGCACAGCGAGTGGCACTCATGGTCGACTCTCCGGCCACACCCAGGGACAACCGTGCGTTCTCCATGCAGCCAGATCTAGCCACATCCTTGCACATGCAGGCAACCGGGGGAAGGAGAAGGCGGAGAAGGCAGACAAGGCGAAGGAGAATGAGAAGGAGGAGGAGGAGGAGGAGGAGGACAATTCGGAGGAGAAGGAGGATGAAGATGAGGAGGAGGGAGGGAGGAAGGAGGGAAGGGAGGGAGGAGGAGGGGGAGTGAGGATAGAGGATGAGGAGAGGAGGAGGAGGAAGAGCAGGAGGAGGAGGAGGAGGAGGAGGAGGAGGAGGAGGACGAGGACGAGGACGAGGACGAGGAGGAGAAGAAAGTGGAGGAGGAGGAGGAGGAGGAGAAGGAGTAGGAGGAGCAGGAGGAGAAGGAAAAGCAAGAGGGGGAAAGGATGAGTGAGGGGAGGAGGAGGAGAAGGAGGAGGAGGAGGAAGAGGAGGAGGAGGAGGAGCAGGAGGAGCAGGAGGAAGAAGAAGTGGAGGAGGAGGAGGACGAGGACGAGGACGAGGACGAGGACGAGGAGGAGGAGGAGAGAACGAGGTCTCCGGCGGTCTCCCGAGGTCTCCGGAGGTCCCCTGCCGGGCCCATGGAGGCCCCCAGAGGCGCGACATTGACCAAATACGCACACAAATTTCAATCATCGATGATCCTCGACCCTCTTCGATGCTCCTCGACACCCCCAGATCCTCGATGCTCCTCGATGCTCCTCGATGCTCCTCGATGCCCCCAACCAGATCCTCGATACGCCTCGGTACTGATCGATACTCACAGGTGCTCGTCAATACTCATCGCTCCTCGAGGCTCCTCGATCCTGGACGCTCCCCGCTGCTCCCCGATCGTCGGTCCTCCTCGGTCATCGGTGCTCGTCGCACCCCCTCGAGGAGCCATGGACATAGTCCACCGCCGCTTCTGCGAGCGCGTCGCCGACGCCATGCGGAAGATGGGCTTCAGCACGGCGCGCCCTCTCGGGCAGAACCGCCGCGGCTGCTGCTGCTCGTCGTTGGCGGCTGCGTCGTCGTCACCGTCCTTCTCCGCATCCTTCTTCTACTCCCCCTCCCGCCTCCCTTCACATCTTTCTCCCCCTCCGCCTCCGCATCCCTCCTCCTACTCCTCGTAATCACCCGCGTTCCTCCCTGCACATGTTTCTCCTCCTTTTGCCTCCTCTTCTCCATCTACCTCCTCCTCCTCCTCCTTCTCCTCCTCCTCTTCCCCTTCCTCCTCATCCTCCTCCTCCTTGTCCTCCTCCCTGTCTTCTTGTTTCCGCCCTCTCCTGGGCAGGAGGCGTGGAGAGGAGGGAGGTTGGAGGTTTAGGAGAGGAGGCATAGAAGATGGGAGGAGAGGACGGGAGGAGAAACGGGAGCGAGGAGCGGGGGGGGGGGGCGCGGCGGAGGGGGGGGGCGGAATGGGCACGATGCCAGAGGAGGAGGAGGAGGATGTGGAGGAGGAGGAGGAGGAGGGCTAGGGAAGAAGGCAGGGAGGAGGAGGAGGAGGAGGAGGAGGAGGAGGAGGTGGAGGAGGAGGGCTAGGGAAGGCCGCCCTTGTCTCGAGTTGCCCTCCTCCGATTCGGGGCTTCTGATCCCGGCAGATGCCGAGCACAGGCGATGCTCAGGTGCAACGTCAGGGGGGAGCATTCATTCTTCGGGGGGGATGCATCGACCCCCAAACGCCCATTGATCGCCGATTGAGGCTTGGTAGCCCACCCCGCCCAGAAAAGTGCGGATTCGCCATCGGGGGGTTGTCGCCGATCCCAGTTTGATGCTTCGCCCCCTGAGTCAGTCCCCCCCAAGTGATCCCTGTCGTCTGATTTTCCGGCCGCAGGTCGGGTCTCCAGCACCCGTTCTGGACGATCCGGGCAGCCCTCGACGCCATTCGGCGAGGCGCCCCGAGGTCCGAAAACTGCCGAACAACCTTCCTCCCTCCCTCCCTCCCCTCCGCCCTCCCTCGCCCGCCCTCCCTCCCCCCCCCCCCTTCCCCCCTCTCCCGCCCCTCCCTCCCTCCCTCCCTCCCTCCCTCCCTCCCTCCTCCTCTCGCCTTCCCTCCCTCCCTCTTCCCTTCCTCCCCCCTCCCTCCCTCCCCCCCTCCCTCCCTCCCCCCCCCGAAAGCGTCCGGAAGCCTCGCGCTGCGAGGCTCCCCGTCGCCTCGAGGTGTCTCAGCAGATCGCGGCCCCGGCCGAGCCATTAGGCGCGGGGGGTCGGCGGGCGCAGCGTCCTGCCGAGGCGCAGAACAACAGCCTGATCCTCACGGCCACCGCGCTCTCCATCTTCGACACGGCGGTCCAGCACGCGGACGTGACGAAGACCAGGCCGCGGGGGCCCCAAGTCGCAGCCTCTTTCGCGCCGGCGTGCTCGTTCGTTGGTGTTTCTCTCTCTCTCTCTCTCTGTTTTGTTGTGCTCTCTCTCTCTCTCTTTCGTTTTTTTGTCGTTCTCTCTCTAGATGTCCCTCCCTCTCTAATTCTGTACATATATACATGGCATACATGGTATACAAATATACACACATATCCACATACATATATATATATATACACCCTATACGACCACCCTTCGGGTGATAAGGAGGTTCGGGGGGAGGAACCAACGTCTCACTCGATCGGTCTCACTATCGATCTCACTATCGGTGTCGCTCGATCGATCCCACTCAATCGATCTCACCATGGATATCACTCGATCTATTTCGTTCGATCGCTCTCACAATCGATCTGACTATCGATCTCACAATCGATCTCACTATCGATCTCACTATCAATATCACAATCAATCTCACATTCGGTCTAACTATCGATCCCACTATCGATATCACAACCGATATCACAATCAACGTCATCATCATCAACATCATCGTCATCAACGTCATCAACATCATCATCAGCATCATCGGGAAACCATCATCACCATGATCACCTCATCACCATCGTCACCTCATCACCATCATCATCAACATCATCATCACCATCACCATCACCATCACCATCATCATCATCATCATCATCATCATCATCATCATCGGGACACCATCATTGTCATCATCATCAGCAGCAATACCACCATCAACATCATCATCGGGGCACCATCATCATCACCACCATCACCATCATCATCATCATCATCATCATCATCATCATCATCATCATCGTCATCAACATCGTCAACATCATCATCATTGGGGCACCATCATTATCACCACCATCACCATCACCATCATCATCATCACCATCATCATCATCATCATCATATTCATCCTCATCATCGTCAACATCATCAACATCATCAACATCATCATCATCACCATCATCATCATCATCATCATAATCATCATCATCATCATCATCATCATCATCATCATCATCATCATCATCATCATCATCATCATCATCATCATCATCATCGGGACACCGACGGGACACGGGCGCGACACCGGCGGGACACCGCGCGCCACCGGCCCCCGAGCGGGACACCGGCGGGACTCCGCGGGGCACCGGCCGCCCGGTCAAGGTTCTTTTGCTCCGGCCGCGCCTCAGCCACAGGAGACTTTCTCTCGCCCGCCCACGCAGCTTCGCCTCGCCCGCACGGCACGCACGAACACGAAACCGAAACCGATTTCCCAGTAGGGGGGCTCTCCGTTCCACTTCGAGCTCACCCCCTCACCTCCGATATATATATATATATATATATATATATATATATCCGTAGCCATTTTGGCTCATGTCCGGAGTGTCTTGCTCAGGCTTGCACGTGGGAATCGGGGCCTGCATGTGCGCTTAGACTTGCTCGCAGGACGTGGGTTTTCCTCTTTGTTCGAAATTACTATCACAGTTCTGCACGGAGGTGTCATCTCTCACGTCCGTGCGAATCTGCTCCTGTCGACGATACGTTCGAGGGGCATGTCTGATGAATTTGGCAGTGGTGTCTCTTCTTCTCGGCGTGCTGGGGCTGGTTTTCGCTCTGAACGTCAGGGTCGCTGCGGGCAACAGGACAGTCAAGAGCGGTCCCGCCCTTGGCGCCCCACATCTGTCCCGCCAAGCTCGGCCTCAGGAGGAAGACCGTCCTGGACGTAGCCGCAGCGGTGAGGCACGGCGCGCTGCCACATCATGCCCGACCCTTCTTGGCGATGGCGTAGAGGCGACAGGGGCTTCTCCTCACGATCCCCTGTAGGGCGTTGGTGACCCATGGCAGGCTCGATGCAGCAATGCTGCTGCTAACCACGAACCTGTTCAACGGGGCGACCTCGACGGCATCTTGGCCGCCCTCAGGACTGACATCGCTGCGTCCGTCGACGGCTCGCTCAGGTCCATGGTTAACAATCTCAACGAGAACACCTCGAAGGCCCTGCGTACCTTCGCCAGGCAGCAGGGGAATATCAACGAGGAAGTCGACATTCGCCGTTGCGAGTTGGACAAGAGACAGGCAGCTTTGTAGCGGGAGCGCGAACAGATGCGGAAACAGATCGTGGGTCCCCAGAAGGCGTTTCACCAGTGCGAACAGCAGATCCCCCAGTTTGACGTGGTCGATGCCGCGAATTTCAGTCGCGAGATCGACCGCACGATCGTCGCTGCAGACACCGAGGAGCTGGTCACGTTAAAGGCGGTGCAGGCGTCGCTCAATGAGTGGCTCACCAACGAGCACTGGACGGACAATGGCGACGGTTCTTTACAGCTTTTCCTGGGGGCCTTTCCGCCGACATGTTTGTGTCTCTTCAAAAGAATGGGCAAACGATTCGGCGTGATACTCAAACGAAGAAGCTGACTATATGTCTTTTTGTCAAAGATACCGCAACCCATGGCCGCTGGATGGCGGACCGCACTGAGGGGGTCATATACCATGGGTCGATGCCGAGAGTCCGCGCGTTCGTGGGTGAGGATCCCGCTGGGGATTTCGGTCCCGGTCCTGGAATGGAATTATCGGCTGGTTACCGATGTTGGGATTGATCGGGATGCTGTATAGATGGCCTCCGAAGGCATGCTCGACAACGCAGACAGAGTTCACTGGTCAGTGTAGCGAGACGATTGCATGCTGGCGCAGCCCGATGCCAGCAAACGTTGCGTTTTCCTTTGGCACCTGGAATGCTGACGCTCTTATACAGCATGATCAGTCTGAATTGTTGTGCAGGTACAGATCCATCGTTTGCAGAAGCTCGCCAAACACAGTAGTATTGGATGCGCGGCTCGCGCAATGCATTGTAAGTGGTGGTCGCGGCCCGGAACAACTTCCCAGCCGCTCTATATTTTTTGTACACCGCATTATACCCCCATGTGTTTAAGACGCGCGCGACAAGCCCTTTCACATGCCTTCACCTCCTGGATATACTTGCTGATTGAAAAACTGCAAGGCCCCAAGTTTTATCATGTGTCTTGCATTACCCACATGGGCACATGCTCGTGGATTTTCCAACGTCCGCCAAACAACTACCCCGTTTGCGACCCCTTGGTTTGTGCCCAGCATCTCCCAAAAGTCTCACATGCTTCTTGCAACGACAGTTTCGCTCTGGCCACGTGCTTCAAACAATGTTTATGCAGACTGTGGAAGCCAAATGTCACGGTCATGCGTGTTGCTGTTTCCAGGCGCCAGCCCCCCAGCTGGGTGATGGCACTCGTTTCTATGACTAAGACATGCGTGTTGGATGCGTTTTTTCGGTCAGTTGAACATTTGATTTCTTCCAGCGTGCCTGGATATAGCGATCCAGCAACATCTTGTTACGCACTCGCAGAGTTTCAGCACTTCCGGAACCACACATGGGGCAATTGGAGTCGTTGAGATATCCTGCGTCGAGCCTCCACCCTTCGCCACGATTACTGGCGAGGGCGACCTGCTTGGCATTCTTACTTAGAGTAACCGCTACTTCATGCTTTTGAGGCACCTGCTACATGTGCCATACCAACTCGCTGCTGCACTCTCCGCGATACCTCATTGGCCTACCAACAAGCCAGAGACAGCACTGAAGGGAGGTACAATGGAGTACCCAGGCTTGCAATTGTCCCTTGCACTTCCTCCCCCAGGGCACCCCGATCTTCTGACCGTGGCAACTCCTCAAACAGCTAATGTGTTTGATGTCTAACCCCTGATCGACAAATTTGGCTCTATTTAAAATGTATATGATCGCAGTCAGTTCGAAACTTCTTGCATGCCCTATGTTTTGCTTCAGCCGATATTTCATCACCACGCCTTTTTGCTCCTTGCCATGCTAACCCGTCTATGTAAGAATACCCCTAGGGCTGGGTACTGTTCCCCCGCAGTCCTACGCAAGAGCTTCCGCACGCAACGTTTCATTTGCCCCGCAGGGACGTCGCTTGATTTACTCGCTTTTATCTTCGGATCAAACATCCTACTTGCCCCAGAGAATCGCAACACCCTCCTCTGCATCCTCGCCGTCCGTGGATGTTCAAAGTCTTCCGGCCGCTCCGAGGGCCACGGGCAACAATTTCATATGGCTCGGGTTGTCCCACGCCGCTTGGTGCAACAGCCGCGCACCGCATTCCGCAAGAAGCAAATAAGATCAATGATCACGTTCAACAGAATGTATAAGACGCCTGATTTTTTTCTTCAGTCGTTATGCTTTCCACCCCACGCGTACAAGTCAATGATGGTTTCGCATGTGTGTCCACGTTCCTCTGCGTCTAGAGTCCCCCGGGGCACTCCAGAAAAAAAAAACACGTCTGAACATTCAGATCACATTCTTTTGGCACAGCCCACCGCGGTGAACATCTGAGCCGCGGGCGGTCCATGCCAACGCGATTCTCACGACCTTGAGATTGTAGGTGTTGCGTTGGCGCTGCCAGGGTTCTGATCAGCAAGCTCTTCTTTTCCAGTGGCTGCCGTTCGCCTGGCATCGCTCGGACTTGTGCATTTTTTCTCGGCGAGAACCATCGAGGAGCATCCTTGATCATTTGGCGAACAAGCCACGCACGAAACCGACAAAAACACAGGGAATGGACTTTCGAGCGATGGCGAGTTCGTCATTCCAAACTGCAGCAGTAAGGGCCTTAAACCATCGCACGGACGGAGGGCCGTACAGTGCTTGAAAATTGTGGTGTTCTTGGTGAACGGTGCCTGCGCGCACGCAGCCTGTACAACTCCTCTTAGTCCTCCTCCTCCTCCTCCTCCTCCTCCTCCTCCTCCTCCTCCTGGGAGCCTGTGCATGATCCCAGACTTCTGCAGGCCGTGACCCGTGCTTGCGAAATACACACGGCATCTGCCTGCCTCGCTGGGAAGGTCGCGTGGGCCCCAGATGGCGTGAGCACAGGCACGCAATACATGTGTGCCACGTGCGATCCTGGAAGTGCCCTGTGAGCACACACCTCTGCACTTG